CCATTTGTGTTTAGCTATAAATAACAATGCTTGATAGTAAAAAAGACTCTCTGATAAATGAGCACGAATCAACGTAATTTTAATGTTTTTAGCTTTAAAAGTTTTTTAAAATATGTATATAATGATGGGTAAGTGAACAAAATTAAGTTGGGTTCATAATTTACAATTTTAGTGAAATTTCATTTTGTACCATTTAATATTTGTAAGTGTCCAAATGAGGAACTGTGGAATCTGTGGCAAGTAGTCAGTCACACAGCTTGGAGGAAACAATGAGTTAATGATTAATTAATATTATATATTTGTCCTGTTTTTATTGATAATTTTTTTTATTTAAACCACACAGATTAAAAATTATATTATAATTATTTAATATATTATTTTAAATAAATTAATTACAATATTATAAAAAAATACATTCTTATCATTTTAATGATTAAAAAGTTAAAAATATTCCATACTTATAAAGGATAAATATAATTTTTTTTTAATTTTATAAAAATATATATTAAAGATTAATAATTTTAGAATTAAAATTAATTAAAAATAAAATTTAAATTGCTTTATTTGTAAAAATTTTATTTTTACTCGTAAATTCATTAATTTTACTCTAAATTTTAAAAATTAAAATTGTTATTTAAGCTTCTCTTGTTTTATTTTATAAATTTTATATTTTTCATGAATATTTATTTTTATATTTATAAAAATCATATTTTTTTTGTAAATTTAGAAATTACTTTTCAAGTTTCATTTCTTAAATTTATGATTATTAATATTTAATTAAAAAATTATTTTTACATTACAGGATAAAAGTATTATTTTAAAATAAATTATATTTAAAATTATTTAATTCTACTAAATTTTTATCATTTTAATACATACTATTATTCACAGTTATAGAGTTAAGTTAAGATAAAAATAATAATTTTTTTATATAAATATTGAAAAAAAATATAACTTTTTTAAAAACAATCTCTTAAAAAATAGAGAATATATCAACTACTTAACACTAAAACACTAAAAAAAATTTCGGAGAAATTAATTTGCTTATTAACTAGTTGATTAACAATTGATTCCCCGTAAGTAAGATGTGTAAATTTTAGACGTAGAGATAACTGAGCCCTTAATTAATTTAACGAAGGAGGTGATAAGATCGACTTTGATTCTAAAATTGGAATAGGATCTAAGATAGCAGTAACTTTCCAACATGGTTTTTAAAATTAAGAAAAACAGTTGGGTACGATATTAAAGTGATCATCAATTTCATATGTTTATAGCAAATTTGTCGTGTTGTATCCACTTGTTCCAATAGCATGGGGTTGGACCAGAGTTGTCCCCCAAGTGACTCTACACAAAAGTCATTTCATTTCTCAGCCAAATGGGTGGGAACAATACAACAATTGATTTTGAAGCCATGGTCGGTGGATTCCATATATTGAATAAACCACTGAACTTAAACAATTCATGTTGTGAATACGTGGTCTTATAAAATTCCACATGCATCATCTTAGCTGTTTCTCATCCTCTAGTCATTTTATGGAAAGGGTTTGTGACTATTTAGAACAAAATAATGTCTAAAAATATCATTCAAGTTCTTTTCCCTTTTCTCTTTTCAAATGATGCAAGGGTCTAGCTACTATTTATAGGTGAACATGGTTTAGTATGGGGGCTAAGAATATGACTAATATGGGTTAAGGAATCAACAACTTGGGAAGAGAAAAAAGTTTCAAATGTTCTAACTTCAACGCTCATCACCAATCTTTTATTAATTATCCTCATGGAATTGGTCCCTTTCCGTAACACACAATTGGATATATCTTCAAATCCTATCATAGTGTTTGATTGGAAGGTATAGCCTAAAAAGTCTTAACATATACACGCTGGGAGAGATATCTATAAAGGGGATTTCTTGCCAAATCTAGTTCAAAGTTAGCAATATTTCGTTCAAACACTTGCACAAAATTTATCATTTTAATTGGATTTTCACTCGCAATGAAAATAAATAAACTCTTCAAAGGCATTTATTTAGATGCATCAAGAAAGAAAAAAGTTTGTTGAATTTTTATTTTTTATCAAAACTTTTCACATATAATTTTTGTATCGTTTTTATGGAAGTTTTCGCTATATTAAAAAATATATCTATGTCATTAATTATATATTTTAACTAAATAAAAACTATAGTCTTTGCAATAAGTTGATCACTTTATATTGAATTTTAGCATAATTTTTTAAATATAAATATAAATTAATTTACTTTAAAATGTTTTTAGCTACAAACAATTATTTCTTATACATTAATAGGAAGAAGAGACATAAAATAAAGGTAAACAAAATTGAACCCTTCTTTCGTCCATTTTCCTATAAGTTTTGAGGAGATGTTTAATCAGAATTAGATATAAATACATATTTTCTATCCTATTTTGATATTATTTTAAATTACAGGAAATACATTAAAAAATTATTCATTCTTTTTATAACTTTTATACTCATTTTGTTTTTGATTGTGAATACGTTATCGATTGGTGACGTGGTCTTGGCTTTCATAATTTAATTAATGAGAAGTCAGCATGTTGGTTTGATATGCTTTTGTTCAACGCGTACGGTTAATTGTACATTAATATTTCACCATTACTAACAAGTTATTTCTTTAAATTATGAATTGCATATTTTTATTTTTGAAAAAGTTATTAAATTTAGTTTTGTAAAAAAATTTTCATTTTATTTTTTTATTCCACTTTTTGCTATTATCATTATAAAAATATTATTAATTGAAAAATGTTAATTGTTAAAATAATTTTTATTAGTATAACCTTTACTTAATAAAAAATTATTAAAAGAAGTAAGAGAGGAGAGAATTTGAGTAAAAAATGTGTATATTTTTAGATAATTTAAATTAATCAAAATACAAAAAAGTACATTCATTTAATTAAAATATATATTAAATTCTTATAATATAATAAAATCAAATTAAAATATTGATATTTTTGTCATTATGTAAATTTCTTAATTGAAAAATAAAATTAGCCTTACTTTGATTTTGTTCTAAAATTGTATTATCAAGCATATCTGATACTCTGAAAAAGAATTTAAAAATAAAGTTTGATTGGTGCAACTTTGTCTTTTTGTGAAGTGGCACATCTCATCCACACATGTTTTAGGAGAGAAAGATGCTGCGGGATATACCTTAGAAGAAACATGCGTGAAAATTTGTACCAAAAAGTAAATAAACAAATTAGTGAACTTGGATGGAAGATGACGAAACCATTGTGAAAAATTACAAATAATATGAATCTCATTAAAAATTGGGTACTTTTTTTTATTGTGTTCTTGCCTTTTCTTAAAAGTAAAATCTGAATTTAAAACTAACTTATTCTTAGATAATGCATTTATTGCACCCACAAGTGGATATACAGTGGACACCCCCAATTGCAATAATTAGTTATATGTCAAAATCTGATTTGATGTTTTGGATGGATGTTCTTTAATTGTTTCATTTTAAAAATTAATAAACATATAAAATAATAAGAGGCTCTTATTAATTATTTTTAATTGTGATGAAGCAATGAGAGGTAAGTTATATGTACTTTAATTATTTATTTTTCTATACTGGACAAATAAAATATATATAAAGATGTCTTTTGTGACCTCAGTTAGTTAATATTGATAAATATTAGATTAATAGTTATTTTTTATGCATTTAATTTAAAAAATAAATTAAACCCTATGATAAAAACACATACCTGGCTATACAAATGTGAAAATATTCCTTCTGTTGATTAAAATTATTCAAAGTGTTACAATTTCAATAAAAAAAAATAAAAAATAATAGGTCTAGAAAAAGCGAATACAATAAAATTGTTAGTCACTTAAACGATAGTTATGGTAGTTTTGAAACGCATGAAGAGCAACTTGATGTTTCTATTTTTATTTAAAAACTTATACTAATATAATTTTAATATATTATTAATATGAAAAAAGTTGTTATTTTTCATGTGATTAATTAATACAAAATGTTAAAATTAGCAAATAATATAAATATACCATTAAATACAATCATACAACATTTACTTTAATAATATATCAAAATAAAATTGATTTAAAACTGAGAACAGGATAAATAAAAATGTTATTTATTATTTTATTAAATTATATTAATTAATTTTTAAAAACTTCAATGCTGTATTTTTTTATAATATTTATTTATGTTCTAAACAAAGGCCTTTTTTATTAATAAAATTTCATTTTTAAAATTTTAATGCCATTATTTAAAATAAAAATTTAAAAATATATGAATAATTAATAAAAATATTTTATAATTTACATAAACTATTTTTGAAACTTATTTTAATATAATTTATTAAAATAAACCATTTTTATTTTATCTAATAAATTTTACCATTAAATTTATAATATGAATTATTATTTAAATAAAATTTGTTAAATAGTTACTTAAATGAGCAGTATATCAAGATGTAGCCTTAATCTTTGAACTAGTTTTGAGTTTTAACTAATATGAAATTTTGGGAAATGTTGGAACTTGGAAGGTGAAGTCAATCCCCCTTAACGGTTTGACTTCAACTCAGTGCGGCTGCTTTTGCCAATTCAACAGCAGGGATTGGCTGTAACCTCAAAGAGACCTTAGGAATGTGGTCACTGCACCTGTACTTTCACTTCCTTTTCTAAAACCAATTACCAAAAATAAAGGATTCCATTAGTGATTATCATTATTATTTATAATATAAATATATCAATCACTTTACATTAATTTGTACAATATTAACAAAACCATTTATTTATACATAATTAAAAAAAATTCACACAATGTCAATGATGATCCCTTTTGTCTTTACATTATTTAAAGAGGCAATAATGGGCCAAAGGGAAAGGGCATTCGGGAACATGAAATACATAAAATAATAACACCCACTCATAATATGCTTAATATTGACATCGATGTATGCTAAGCATTGTTGAAATAAAAAACAATAAAATAAAACATTGTCGGTGGATTCATGGATTTTTTATGTACTGCCAAGCCAAGCTAAGGTTGACACTTTTTTACACCAACTCTTCTTTCTCTCTCTCTCTTTCTCTCTCTATGTACAGCCTAAGCTTATCCCTCCCCACTTGTTGCCTCTGCCATATGTTATAGGCAAAAGAGAGAGAGAGATAAACAGGAAGAGCAGAACCATCATCAGAAGAGAGAGAGAAACAGAATCAAAGTTGAGTTTAGTTGAGAGAGATAGAAGGGAAGATGAACGGTGGTGAGTCGTACGGTGCTATTGAGACACAGTATATAAGGAGGCATCACAGGCACGAACCTAGGGACAACCAGTGCACTTCTGCACTTGTCAAACACATAAGAGCTCCTGTTCATCTTGTTAGTTTGCTTTTTCTGCCTTACCTTGTTCCAACAAAATAGCGTTTTTTTTTTTTTTTGGGTTCTGAATTGGGTGTTTCTGGTTGGTGTGTCTGATTTATGCGGTGGAAAAAAGTTATCCTTTTCTTCCTTTGAAGATCTGTGAGGTTTTGCTTGTTTCCGGGTGTCTTTGTTGGTTTCCAATGTTGTATACTCATCTGGGTGTGTGGGTCTTGGCATTTCCCTTGTTTTTGTCATTTTTCTGGGATGGATTTTGTTCTAGATTTTGGGTTTTATGAGGGTATTGCAAAAGTTGGATTTTTTAACTCGTGGGATGCAAGTTTTTGTTGGTTTTTGGTTATGAAATCAGTTATGGTGGAACGGAAATCTTTGTCTTGTTATGTGGTTTCATTCGAATTTTGTTGTCAATTCTGATTTCAGAAGATAAAAAACATAGTCATATAGCTGGTGGTTGTGGTTTGTCTTTTTTTTCGGGGGGCGGGGGATTCCTTTTCATTTTCAATCCTTTTGGATATAAGAGGGTGCAGTACTGCAATGGAATAATAAGGAAATCTGAAAAATTTAAGGCTGGAATTTGATGCATTTTTCTTAGAAGATGACAAGAGTTCATCGCCCAAGTTTCTTATCTGTACAATGCCTTTTAATTCTTTGTTGTTTGCAGACTAGTTTTTAGTAAACTAGGGATGCAGAACATTTATATATTTTACAAAAATTATCTTCCCATGTTATTCTTTATGGGCCATTGAATTGTGGTTCAGTGTCATGGAATTGAAGAAGTAAGTTTATGTGATGGCATGTTTTATTATTTAGTGAATTTTGTGGGAGAAGAGAAAAAAATGATTATTTATTTGATCTGATTAGTTTATTTCTCTCTGTCAGGTATGGTCGCTGGTTAGAAGATTTGATCAGCCCCAGAAATATAAACCGTTTGTAAGCAGGTGTATCATGCAAGGGGACCTTGGCATTGGAAGCGTTAGAGAAGTGAATGTTAAATCTGGTCTTCCAGCTACAACCAGTACTGAGAGATTGGAACAACTTGATGATGAGGAACACATTCTTGGCATCAGGATTGTTGGAGGTGACCATAGGCTGAGGGTATGATCCTTCGTTTTCTTTTTGAAGTTTGTCTTCCAGAAGAAATTAGTTGAATCCTATTTTGAAATTTGGAATTTAAGTTATGGACTTTTTAAGCATAAGTAATGACAATGTGAAGAAATGCTGGTATATATAATCGAACTCTCACTTGCCTGCTTATGTTGTTTTATTAGTATTATTTCTGGGATCTTATTTCTTTTTATCATTACATTTGACCTTTCTATCTCAAAAAACAATAATCTTTGACCGGCCTGTCCTATCATGTATTTTACATACTACATAGTGAATGGGTTGAAAAACCTGTGGATTACATTACAGATTACAGAGTCTCCTATTTGTCAGTGGTATTTACTCTGTTTGGTCTATAATTTATAATGCCAACCTTGGTTACTCGATTTAATTTGCATTATGGTTTATTTTTCAACTTATTACTATGGTCTCTATTTGCCAAAATAAATCCACTGTTTTACAGTGCTACCATCAATGTCTTATAGTTTTTTATCATATCATTTAACATGTGACACCGACTAGGGATGAAAAGTTGGTGGAAACTTGCAAGACTATTTTGAAGGTTTGTTTGATTCCACTTCCATTCACAATAATTGAAAAAAAAAAATTGCTTTGAAGAAACCACGTTGTGCATGCTTTCGAAATTGTGAAACTCCGCTTTCATTGTTGCATAACAGACACTTAACAACTTGCATTTTATTCAGGGTTACTGCACTATAGAAAACTCTTGGATTCACAAATTACAATGCATGGATATTTGTTCAAATTGGTGATATGCATTTAAAGTACAGTCTAACTTAAAGTTTACTCATTTCATGATGTTATATTGACACTAATAGATGTGTGTACTAGCTCTATCATCAGCTGTAAGCCAACTGAATACAAACTTAATCATGTTATATGGAATTTGCAGAACTATTCTTCTATAATCACCGTCCATCCAGAGGTAATTGATGGGAGACCTGGTACAATGGTGATTGAATCATTTATGGTGGATGTGCCTGATGGGAACACGAGGGACGAAACTTGTTACTTTGTGGAGGCTTTGATCAGGTGCAACCTAAGCTCTTTGGCTGATGTCTCAGAGAGGATGGCTGTGCAGGGTCGAACTGATCCTATCAACCAATAAGTTTGTCTAGGGGAGCATGAAGTTGGATTCATACAATTATATGATCCATTGCTTTCTGATCCTAGTTCAGGCGCGGAGTTTGGTTGGAGTATTCCTTCCATATTCCGAGAAGTTTTGGATGTTTTTTCCCTCTGTATGATGGATACATTCCCCCTATCATCCCTCCTACATTTTTAGCTGTGTATTCACTCTTTTGAACAGCTAGGTTTCTCTTCTTCAGTTTTTGTAAGATGAGATTCTGGGCTTCATGAGGACACGGATGGGAGGAGGAAGTTGTTCTTTCCCTGCTATATTCTTCCTGGATTTTGTCGATGGGTGGTGTGATACTACAGTTATTTGTAAATATTTTGGAAAAAGACAACTTCTCTTTCATGTTTCATGTTTAGTAGCAACTAGCCAGATTTATGTGCTGGCTGAAGAGGACCCCAAAACAGTGGATACTGCTTTGTTATTTTCATATAAGTAGTTTAGTTTTTGTAAGTTAATCTATTCCACATTCTCCTTGTTTAGGACTATGTTTAGAACACTCAAATCAAATTGATTTTGCTTCTGGTTCTTGTATGGCATCATGCGCCTTGCTTTGAGGAATTTCAAACACGCTCTTTCTTCTTCCAAGCATAGCAAGCGCTTTCAAATTTGACCTTTTATTTAGGCTTTTTATGGAAGATAAATGCAACTCGTGAGGAAAAAAGCATTACAACATACACGCATGTACTAGAAGGGTTGAAGAGTTGAAATAAATATAATTCCTGCCTGAATTGGAAAGTATGGAGAATTTTGCCTTTTAGTAGAATAAATTTTCTAGGGAGAGCAGTTTTCTTAGGTACTTTGGAGTTCTTTGTCATCTTTTGCTAGTAATGCAAGAAAAGTAATTCATCTTGTTAAAAAAAAGACAGCTTTATGAATGAGGATTGGGGGATGGAAACCCTTGTTTGTATGTACCAGCACAACATTTATGCATATCATTTTCAAGGCTGTAGGCTGTACAAGTTGGTACGAATATAATGTAAAATTATTCATAAACTTTACTTTAATTACTTGAGCCTTTTTAGTAATTCGTTCACGAAATGGTATTAGAGTTTTTATGATTAAATGATTTAAAATTTAATCCTTACCATTTCTATTCTTCTAACAAAAAGTTCAATTTCAAAAGAAGATAGGTGAATTTGAGCATTGTTCACACTTAATAGTAAGGAACTCTAGTGGGAGGGGAATGTTAGACATATAATAATATAAACTTATTTATGTCTTTACTTGACAATTTAAAGTTTTGGCATGTTGGTTCATGACACGTGATAAAATTGGATTAAATATAATCAATTTTAACTGAGTTCTGTTTGTAAGAGACTAATTATTCAATATTAATTAGTTTGTAGGAAGTGGCTTACAAAAACAATAAATTACTTATAACTAAGAGTAAATTGGTGATTATTTATGGTGGAAATTAATTTTCGAGTTATTCGTGTACCGAACTCAAACTCGACTCCGCAATCAATTTTCAATTTCCATGTTCACAACTCACTAACTCTGCAAGTCTAAATAATTTGTATCATAGTCAGCTTATTATATTTTATATCTGCCCTGAAAATTGCATGCATGTATACATACTATTTACATGTGCACGCACGCCAATAAAATATAGTATACATCGAACTCGTGAAAGATGAAGAAAAGCATGGGAAAAAATGATGCAATAATCATAAGACAAAAATACTACAAAATTTATGAATTTTTTGTCATGCTGGATTGCTAGTTGTGTGAATTTGAAAAATAACTTTTGACAATCTTGACTTTACTTTTCATTGCTGAAGAAGCCAACCTTGAGAAGCAGATGCTACTCTTGTCAATGGTGAAACCTGGTAATACAAAACTTGTTGCAGAAGTGGCACATTGCTCTAATCAATTATCTTAGGCACATGTTGTGCCACTGTTTAGTAACTTGCATGGTATTTTTCGTCTGATAGCATGTTATGCTTTAAAGTGGGAGCTAAACCACGTTGTTGGTGATGCACGCTGTTCTAACCTTTTCATACTGTGACTTGAAAATAAGGTAAGCTATTTCAGGTGAAGATTGCAACTTGCAAACAGTGTATTTCAATGATTCCTCAAGTAATATAGACATTCCTTAGTTTAGAGTACTGTTCCCTTCAGGAACACACTCCCTCTGTGGATGTACAAGAGCATAATGACCCCTCCAGAGAAGAAAATGCTTCAGGCTTTTGCATATGCATCTTATTACCAACGATCATTACATGAGCATTTTCCATTCGTGAAATGGTGAAAACGACCACCGTCTCTTAGGAAAATCTCACAATTTCGAGCCAAAGAAATGTACTTAGCTGCTGTATGACAATCTTGACAAATTCTTGTGTTCTTCACTACCCTGATTGGTGATCCACCTTTAGTTTTCATTAGTCCATATGTCATAGCCAACTTCTCAGTGTGACTGAGTACAACCTTCTCCTTCTCACTGTTATCAATGTTCTGATATACACAACTAATATCAGGTACATATCCCAGCTTTCGTATTTCCGAAACTAATTGATATAACTCAAAATATACTTCCCCTTCTTCTGGATGTGATTTCCCTTCTGTGGAGAACACATGAATAGTCTGATTAACTTGTGTCCAACTCCAGACATTTGGGATTTTCACCCCCAATGCTGTCATTGAGTCTTTAAGGCGCTCCACATCCTCCCATCTGTCAAGTGAGGAATACATATTCATCATCATCACATAGTTAGCAGAATTATATGGTTCCAACTTGAAAAGATTCCTTGCTGCAATCTCTGCTAGCATGTCTTTGTGAATTCTGCAGGATGTAAGAAGAGCACCCCAAATACTAGCATCTGGCTTTAACGGCATGTTTTGGATGAAATCCAAAGCTTCATCAAGAAAACCAGCTTTTCCAAGAAGGTCTACCATGCAAGAGTAGTGCTCAATTGTAGGAATAATGTTGTAATCTGTCCTCATACTGTCAAAGTACTTCCACCCTTCCATAACTAAACCTGAATTTTTGCAGCCAGAGAGAAGAGCTGTGAAGGTTATAGCATCAGGTCTGATACCTATTTTGCACATGTTGTCAAAAAGATTCATTACCTCTTCCCCATGGCCATAAATAGCATATCCCATCATCATGCAATTCCAACATGGTAGTGTTTTCTCCTTAATTTTCCTGAAAATCTCATGGGCTTCTTTTAATTTTCCTCCTTTACTATACATGTCAATGAGGGCTGTGGCTATAAATATGTCATCCACAAACCCAAGTCTCATACAGAAGCAGTGTATCTCTTCACCTTTCTTTAACAGTGATGGGCCCGTGCATGCCCGAAGTAAGCTGCAGATGGTAGTAGAGTTTGGTTTTACATTTTCTTCTTGCATTTGGCTGAAAATCTGTAGGGCATCCATGTACTTCTCATTTTGACAACAGCCTGATATCATAGCAGTCCATGACACCACGTTAGGAGTAAATCCCAAACTCTTGATCCGATTGATCACAGCCAAAGCTTCCTCGCCACAGCCCCACATTGAATAACCTGAAATCAAACTATTCCATGTCACCAAATCAGGTTTTATCCCTTCCTCCTCCATCTGGTTCAACAGTTTCTCAGCAACATTGAATAGGCCCTTGAAGGAGTACCCTGATATCAATGAATTCCAAGCACAAATATTTTTGTTCTTTGACTGATGGAACACTGCTTTAGCTTTATCTAAGCAATCATTTTTTATATACATATCCACCAATGAAGTACAAACAAAGACATCATAATCAAGCTTACTTCTCATTATGTAACCATGAATTTCTTTCCCTAAATTAAAGGAACCCAATTCAATAACTGCTTGTATTGCACTTGTTATTGAACATGAATCTGGTTTGAAGCCTGCACGTTGCAGGCTCCGAAAATTGGTGAGAACCATTTCATATGACCCCTGAAGAAGATGTCCAGATAAAAGCGAATTCCAAGTTATTATGTCTGGTTTAATGCTGGAAGACTCCATTTGTTGAAAGATATCACAGGCATCATTCAAACAACAACTAGCTGCATAACTCGAAATAATTGCATTCCAAGATGATAAGTCGCGATCTTCCATTGAATCAAAAACTGCTCTAGCTAGTTCAAGTTTATTGTTTCTAGAGTACATGCTAATTACAGAATTGCAAATTGAGGTATTTGACACTAGTCCAAGTCTTATAGCATACCCATGAATCTGCTTCCCTTCATTGAGAGCTCTCAATTTTCCACATGCTTGCAGCAGCTTGACAATGTTGCCATCAGTGACTCTAGCAGAAGCTGATTGCATTCTACGGAACAGTTCTAAGGCATTCTCCCACCTCTCACTCCTCAAATTTGCCATAATAACTGTATTCCACAAGAAATTCTCTTGGAGTGGACTCTCATCAAATACTTGATTTGCTTTATCTATGCCCCAACACTTCTCATAGAGATTGATCAGTGCACAACTCAAGTGCGCATCAACATGGAAGCCTTTCTTAACCAAAAAAGCATGAACTTCCATACCAATCCACAAATCCATTAAAACCAAACAAATCTTCAGAACAACAGTGAGAGCTTTGCTATCAAAGTTCACTCCTTTTTTATGCAAGTCCTTAAAAACCTCCAGAACCTCACGTGGGTCACCTCCAAAACTTGCAAATTCCTCCAGAAAAGAGTTCCACAGAAGATAATTCCTTGCAAAACCAACAAAGAAAACCTTTGTTGCTGAGATAGAATCTCCAAATTCCAAGTAGTTCCTCATCATGCTTCCATCCATTGTAACCAAGCTCCTATTTTTTGGCATTTTGATCATCTGGGCATGCAATTCCCTGACAGAATTCAAAGTCCTTATATCACCCAAGTTATCCAACGGTTGAAAGCATGGAGAAACTTCAGATGAGCAAAATTGAGTAGAAGAAAACATCTGAATATCAGACACTGCAAGAGAAACTGAAGAGGGCGAATGGTTTTTGGGTTGCATGTTGGTTTGTGGGTTATGAATAGAACAAGGATTAAGATGATGAAAAGGAGCAAGCTTATCTATAAAGCTTTGGTAGGGAAAGGAGATGCAAAATGCCATATTACAGTTATAAATGTGATTGAATAGTAGGGACAATTATATATATATACTAAGATAGCTCTAGCTTGAACTGCAACTCCAATGATGTGTTTCCTAAGTTGTTCATCATCTAAATTCTGGGTATTGGCTGGGATGTTAGAAAGTTCGTGTCTTTGTGAGCCTGTGGGATGCAAAAGTTTTGAGTTTAGTTGATAAGGTTTATCCGTATAACTCATGAATGAACCGTAAACAAGAAAAAGGTAAAGTGCCCAAGAGGCAATTATTGCCACTTTGGCACTCGCTATTGGCTCGGTGAACCCGATTTAAATAAACAAGCGGAATGTATAAATTTGTTGTGATAAGTTGCTATTAGGACATTTGAGTGTGAGAGGTTCATACAAAATTGAATGAAAGAGATCGAGTGTGATACCATATTAGAACTTTAAGTATGAGCTTAATCTAAATTGAAAAAAAAAAAAAAGAAGAAGAGAGATTGAGCTATAAACATTTTAGACAATTTAAAGTAATAATCTTTTTATTTATTCATCATTTTAGACGAATGAATAAATTTGTTATAATACGTTATAACTATGATGTCGTGCTTTTAATCATAAACTTTTTTTTTCCATTCTACATTTCATAAACATTAGCTGCCAACATTTATCGGCTCGATCCTCCGAGGTTTTATCATTACAATGTATTTTTTTTAGTTTCCTGCTGAGTGTCCTAAAAAATATTAAAAATTTTAATTCTAAAAATAAATATTTAATAAGTATGTATTTTAAATACAATAAACATTCCATTCCTCAATGGAAAAAAAAATATGTTTACTTTTCTAAACAGAAGCATATTTGTAAGATTTGAAGTAATACATGACTGTCATAAAATTTTTTAATTTATTAAAATGATTTAATAAATTTAAATTAAATTGATACCATAAATTTTTATAAGATAGTAACTAAACAGTTGGTTGCATGTATGTGGGTATGAGTTGTGAAATTTGAATCAGAATCGCTTGATTTTATAAGCTTTGCCTTTTCCCCCTTTCTAGGCAAGAATTTCTTCCTTCCTAGTCATCAATTTCTTGTCTCTTCTTCCAAAGTCACCAACCTCACCCTTCTAATTGTATTTGTTTTTTAAAGTTCCATGTGCACTCATTGAAACACCAACCAACCATTGAGACATATCAGCACAAGAATAAGAGGAAACAAGTGAAGAGATGGGAGATTGGGGGCCAGTTTTTGTGTCTGTGGTGCTCTTCATTCTCTTGACTCCAGGGTTGCTCATCCAAATTCCTGGCAAAACCAAGATGGTAGAGTTTAGCAACTTTCAGACAAGTGGATTATCCATATTGGTTCACTCCATCCTCTACTTTGCACTCGTTTGCATCTTCTTGTTGGCTATTGGAATCCACATGTACACTGGTTCTTGATCCCACAATATCTCATTATTTATAACTGGTTCATTTCTTCTGGGGTTTCAATTGTGGGGTTTTATTTATTTTTATCATGGTTTATTTTATATTTGGATTTTCTTCTGTTATTCAACAGGATATGATCATGCTGAGAGAAAAAAAGACAGCTTTTATTAAATTTAATTAGTAGATCATTCAATTAATTATAATAAATTTTTATTTGGTAAAGAATGTATCTTTCTCTCTTGATTATGTCATGTTAATTAATAATACGGAAGAATTAAAATTCGATTATTTTCCGTGCATTATATAATTTAAATTCTTAGGCCAGATCCCCTTATACGTCATTATAGAATTTTCTCTTATGTTAAAAAGAAAATGATTTATAGACATTAGTTGCCAATGTTTTTGGATCAAACTGCAAGGCTAGAATTGAAGCTTTAACAGAGTCTTCGTCAAAGAATAATGAAAGGAAGAAAATTGATGTTATTAGTGTGGTTGATATACACGTCAACGTTTTTGTTTTACTAAAATTTATCGAAAAATATAATATATATATATATATATATATAATTTTCACTTTGCAAATATAAAATTTATCCACATTAGTTTTTTACTATAGATAAATTTTTTAAAAAAATCGATATTGAAAGAATTATTTGTGAAATAATAATATTTTAAAAGTAAATTTAAAATATTAATACTTAAATATAAATATAAAAATATTTTAAATAATATGCTGAACTCATGCTTATAGTTAATTCTATTCAACTAAAAAATTCGGTTCCTCTGAAATTCAATTATAATCACTGTAGATTTTTTTTTTATTTTATTTATTTATTTACTTTTCAACTAAGTTGACGTAAATGTGATTTTTAGGCAATTCAAACTCAGAGAGTTATCAAAGGAATTTTGTTGTCACGTATAACATTTGTCAAATAAGCATAACTTTTTCCTACATAAAGGTGTTTGATCTTGTAGCATTAAAAACATGAGAAAGAAAATTACAATTGTTTTAAACACATGCCATAATCCAATAATTTTTAATTAAGGTGTAATTTGAGTATTAAGAATGCAGTCAAAGGAGACAAAATATTAAAGATAAATTATAATTATTTTTTTAAAATAGAGACAAATGTTAAGATTAATTGAAACTAAATTTTTTGACAATGATGTGACATTTAAATATAAAATATTTTTATTAATTAAGAATTTTTTCAAGTACCACCTAATCAATCTATTTGAAGGACAGTTTGAAGAGTTGTGTAAAGGATTGTCTAAAATAACTATTAAAGATCGTTCCAAAGATTAAGACGCAGTGAACTTCCAGAGAAATTTGTATGGAAGAAAAAAATTAATATAAAAAATTAAATAAAATAAAATATTTTCTATAAGTCAAATTTAACTTATTTTTAAAATTTTAGAGAAAGTAAATAAAAGAACTTAGTAGATCTTAAAAAAATAAAAATTATTTTTAATTCATAAAAAATATATTAATTTTTATATTAGTAATTTTTTATAAATTCCTTTTCTAAAAATTTACTCAAGTTGAACTTAACCCGATAAATTTAAAAGTTTCAATGACAAAATTATTACCATTATATGCAAGAATTCTCTTCATAAACAAAAATCATAGCATATCCAAAAGCATGAGTGAGTATAAATTCATATTTCTTATTTAGAAAAGCGTGGCGCAACTAATATTTTTCATTTATGGCTTGCAAGTGCTTAAACGGTCATCTTCTAAAAATATTGTATAAAATTTTAAAAACTAATAATATATTTTCTAGAATATTTTAATTATTAAAATTGAAAAAAATATGTTTCTAACCCTTTTTATTATTATTTGTAAAAAAAAAATAACATACGGTGATTAGGATTTTTCTTTTCTTCTTGGAACTAGTTGAATTTACAAAATTGTACTACACTCTACACTCTCCATGTGTAGTACTAGTATGTTTCCACAAATGCAGTAGTTTTCGAACATTTCTGAGCCACACAATTGCAGCCTCAACTCAATCCTCATCAGCTGAGTCTCATCTTCATTATCCACGTGTCAAGCAACCAGTGGTTGTGTTCTCATATCCTTAACACGTCAGCACCTCCACTGAATCGCACCATGCCACCTAACAGCACACCCTTAGCTTTTGTTCCTTCTTCTTTCTCTCTGAGTTTGTCCTCAAACAACCTTAACAAGGCAACAGAATCTACCCTTTGAACTTGCAACAATTCTCATGGTACTTCAGACTCTGATTCTTTGAGTGCCTCACTACAGAGTCTGTGATATACGAAGAATTATGCTATGGAGGCCCTCAATGCTGCATCCTTGACCCCTCTATCTGTGCTTTCTGATAGAAGAACAGAACCCAGAAAATTCTCATCACTGCCCACAATTTCTGCATGCAAAGTCTCAAACTTTTCTTCCTTTAGCAACAAGAAACACACGGTGTTGCAAAGTTGCTTATCAACAGGTTTTCATGGAGGGTTATTTCTTGCAGCTTCAGTTGTGAATGTTGGAGTTGCCACTGCTCTAACATATGAGGAAGCACTTGGGCAATCTGTAGGTTTCCCTAGTGGTGGAGACTTTGATGTGAATGGGTTTGTGGACAGTGTTATCACCTTTGCATCTGAGAACCCTGCAATTGTTGCTGGAGGAGTGGCTGTTTTGGCAGTGCCATTGGTTTTGTCTCAGATTCTTAAGAAGCCTAAGCCATGGGGTGTTGAGTCAGCAAAAAATGCATATGCAAAGCTTGGTGCTGATGGGAATGCTCAGTTGCTTGATATCAGAGCATTGGCTGAGATTAGGCAGGTGGGTGCACCTAATGTTGGGGGTCTGAGGAAGAAACCAGTGTCAATTCCTTATAAGGGTGATGATAAACCAGGGTTCCTAAGGAAGCTTGCTTTGAAGTTTAAGGAACCAGAGAATACCACATTGTTCATTCTTGACAAGTAAGAGTAATTAAGAACAATTTCATTTGTAGTTTTTCTCTATTTGTCATTATAATGCATGTTGTCATGTTGATTCTATGGCATGTTGAGTCATCGCATTTTTAGCTTTTATTGGTGGAAAATAAAATTCAAGAATTATCATTAACATTCAAAGGTTGTTGTGTTATTGTATCATGTATTCAAATGGTAATCTCAATTAAATCAATCTTGGATATCGGTATTTCCACTAGGGAATAATAATTTTCAATTACTTATATTTATTGTTTCTTATTGCACTTCGAAAAGAATATACTTTAAGCTGATTGAATGAACTTGTGATGGAAGCCAGATTTGATGGGAACTCTGAACTGGTTGCAGAGTTGGTCACCATTAACGGATTCAAAGCTGCTTATGCAATTAAGGATGGTGCAGAAGGACCACGAGGATGGATTGTATTTCTTTTCCCTTTCCATTTTATGTTTCATGCTTATTGTATTTATTATTTGCACTCTTTTCTGCTCATCAATACACACATGGACTGGACTTCTGCAGAAAAGTGGTCTCCCTTGGGTGGCACCGAGGAAAGCTTTGGGTTTGGATTTAGGCAATATAACAGATGCTATCGCCGATGCAATTGGAGTATGTAATCTGGGATTTGTCTAATTGCAATTATAATTTTCAATGCCGATGCACAATGCTACTATTGTTTTTCAGATTGCAAAAACTAGTCATATTCCTTCTGTGAAATTTAATAATATTGTAAATTACTGTTAAACTGTTTTGAGAGAAATAAAATGTTAGCTTCTTCAAATTGAGGATTTTTTCGAGCAAGAAAGGAAATGGACCAATCAGGAAAAATGTAGAATTAATTGTTAACTAAACTTGTTCATTAGAAATGTTAAATACAAGAATGAGATATTTTTTTTAGGAATATGATGATCAATCCATTTGTACATGCTTGCCTTTAAAATAAATAGATTTTGTTCATGATCTTAAGTTTTAATATTTCTGTGTGTAGAATTAAATGGAGGTTTATTGCAGGATACCTCTGATGGCGTGGCTGTTACTCTTGGGATTGTTGCAGCTGCAACTGGACTGAGTCTATTAGCTTTTTCTGAGGTTGATTGATGAGTTATTGCTTACAATATTTCTCCCAAAAAGCAATAATCCATTATGGTTCGACTCAACTGACATAAATTACCTGTTCATGATGTTTTTATATTTATAGGTAGAATCAATTCTCCAAGTCGTAGGATCAGCCGCAATCATTCAGTTTGCAAGCAAGAAGCTTCTGTTTGCTAAGGTAAGTATGATTTTCCATGCAGGATGCATGACTTTCCACTTATGTTTTCATTTTCAATTTACTGAACAATGCAACTTTGACTCTTAGAGGAAACCTTTCTTTTGTTGCATGTCTGCACATTAAATTAGTAATTCCTCCTCCTGGTGAGTTTATTGAGACATATTAGCATCATATTTTTCTCTTCAAAGAATGAAGGGAATGGAGAAGCGCCATTTAAATGTATGTAACTATGTGATGAGAAGGGGTGGGGTAAGTCCAACGGATCTTCCATTCAGTCCAGAAATTTTAACCAGTCAAATTGTGATCCTATATATGATTGTTGTTTAAAGTTTTGTTAGCAGCGTAATTGAGTTTTGGAAATGAAAATGGAATAGATGTTCAAATATTCCGTTACTTCAACGGATTTCTGACAACACCCAGTAGGTGATTCTCAATGTTAATTGTTAATCTGTTATCAAGAAATGGTTTTCCCATAGATGATGTGCTTTTCTCTAGAGTTAAGATTCCCAGTTCAATGGTTTCCCTATCTTGATCAAGAACATTTTTCCTCTTTAAGTGCATTAGTGTAGAGTTACTTGAGTACTGTTGCTAGAACCTGCAAAGCTATTTAGCCTGTAGTATTGTTCTTTGGGGTAATTTTCTGTACACATAACACATCTCATAGGTGCAATTGGTCATAGTTGTATTCTGTGAACTTCCACCAAAGCAGACAGTGAAGAGTGATGTTTAGTTGTACACTCAGCAATATGTACATTATGGCTTTTGTTAACAATTCAGTCCAAACATTGCATGACAATTGAGCCTGTTTCATTATACATGCCCTTTATTTGTGGTTTATTGTTATTAACACGGGTAAAGGCTCAAGCTGGCGTTATTTTTTTTGTTTTTCTTTGTATTAATTTCAATTTATTTGATGACAGGACCGAAAGCAAACACTGCAACAACTTGATGAGTTCTTGAACACCAAGATTGCCCCTAAAGAGCTTGTTGATGAAATGAAGGTACTTCAGATTTTTCTTGATCTAATAAATTGGCTGTAATTGTGATGCATTTTGGAATATACATTTTAAATTTTAATTGAGAATTACTATATCTATTTGTTAAAGTTTACCTTATATGAATTGTGAACTTCTTTTTCCCTCTTCCTGATCTTTTTCTCTTTGAATGGAATGGTTGGGAACATTAGGATATTGGAAAGGCCCTTCTACCAACCTCCACCGATAATAAGGCTCTTCCTTCTCCAAAAGCTGATAACCCTGTGCAGAAAGCAGATGTAGCAGCAGCAACACCTGCTCCTGAAATAAACTCAGTGCCCAAAGCTGAAGTTAAGGCAGAATCACTTCCTGTGCAACCAAAGCCACTTTCACCATACCCATACGTAATGTCTTAATTTCCTTTATCTGTGAAATTTTCACTTTCGGTGCTGATTAGTTATGCTTGTTGTGGCCAATTTTCTTGGAACATTTCTTTCCGTATATATTTTTGTTTCAGTGTGATTATGAGTCCATCAAATAGGATATCTTTGTTAAGACTGTAAGACAAATATTTGTGTTGTCATTATCAAATGTCACACCACATTTTGTAATCACACTGAAACCTCATTTGTGAGGCCCTCCTGCCTAAGGAAAGGGTGAAATATTGAGTGAATTTTGGGAGAATGTGAAGTTGTATGTAAGATGAAAAATCATATTTCACCAAGTTTTAAAAATTGTTTTAGGGAGTGTGTGGAAGTGCTTACGAAGAAATTATGAAAATAACTTAAGACTCTCGTAAGTTCTTTTTAACTTATTTTAATAAATTTCTTAAAATAGCCAATCAACATATAAGTTTTTTTCAACTTATTTCAATAAATTTCATGATCAAATTTATACCATAAATTTTGTGTGACAAAAACTTGTTAAATAAATGCTTAATTAAGTTGTTTACCAACACACAACCATAGTATTAGTAATAAATGATAAATTAATATATGAAGACCATTCTCTGCTTTATAATGCATGATTCCGACACATTTTTATCATCTCTCTTGACTGTCTTTGCTTTCCCTTTCTTTTATTTTTCTCTGAATTGCAGTATCCAGATTTCAAGCCTCCAACATCTCCTACCCCTTCACAGCCCTAGAGGTTCACTTTTTCTAATCTTGAAGAAAATTCCATAGAAGGCAAATCAATTGTCAGAATATCCAGCACGTATCAAGAGCTATACAATACTACAATCCATTATCCTTTTAGAAAGTCTTCAACTTCCATGCATCTGATCCATGACATAAGTTGTATAATTTCATAGTCTGTTATGATTATCCTATCACTTGTGCTACTCAGTACACTTTTGTAATTGATGGGTGTGTTGTAGAAGTAGCTATCAAGTTAACATTGTATTGAAAGTAGTTATTTTGAGATATAGTATAACATTCAATCCTTCAGTTTTGGAGTAAGCAAATAAGATTCTATATATTGAATTCTGCCACTGTACCAATTCATCAACTCAATTTGACTTTGCAATTGTGAAGTTTAAAAGCTCAAGGCTTGTTTTAACCCACAAAAAACAAGAGAAGAAAATAATAGAACTGGTGTTAGATATGATCTGAAAATATGGAAATAAAATTTCTTGATACATTGGTAATTATTTTAAAGTAGATTGTGATGTGACATATTTAAATGTTTGATATTTACTAGTAAATGGTGATAAAAAAAAAATTAACTTTTTAAAATTTTACTTTTAATAAGAAAATATTAAAAGTGAAATTTTTTTCACTAAATAAAAATATTTTTATGTAAAAAAATAATTTTCAATTATTGAATTTTATTATAAATGATTGTGATTTAATTATTTTACATGCATGAAAGAAATTTAATGTTGGCTAGTTTAATTAACAAATAATTTTGTTTAGTTTCTAAATTTGCTAATAAATAGTGCCTTGATGTGGAGTGAATTTTTGCCTTCAAAATTTGTTAGCTCATCTTTCTTTCTTTTTGTTTCTTTAGATTTTTTTTTTCTGCATATTCATTGACATTTTTTCAAGCAATTTTATGATTTTTTTTTCTCTGAACCTTCAACACACAATAATTTTTATTATCATTTTACTCACTTAACATAACATCTCAATAAAAATTAATATCGTTACAATAGAAGTTATTAATTAGATTAAAGTATTCAACTTTTTACAAGTTCATTTTAAATTTTTTAGAACTAATTTGCTTGGTACTCAGAATCTTGTAATTCATCTATAAATTTACTTATAAAGCAAAAGAAAAAAATTATAAAGCTCAAAAACTAATATAGAAAACATGACAATAATGTTTATTTAGGTTAAAAAACTCAAGTCATCACGTCATATAATTGTAAGCTTTATATTTTATCAATTAATATTTATTGTCACTTTTATTTATTTATTTTCATATAAAATATTCTTACTACTAATATAGTTATAAGAAAAAATATATATTTTAGACCAAAGTCAATTAAAAATATAATAATAATAAATATATGAGCATAACATTAATCACACCCCTGTAATGCCTGTATCAAAAGTTAATAGCTTGAACTTCTCTCACACACCTTTAGTTGCAGATCATTTAGTTGGCACATGAATAAACTTCTATGAACTTAAAAAAAAAAAGAAAAAGTGAAGGTTACCGTTTGAGTGAGAGAGAGAATCATATTATATCATTTGCATTTCTCTAATATCGTTAATTCTTAAATAAAAAAAGGAAAAAGGTATTTCAACATTTTCTTTCTTAATTATTGTCATCTTAATTAAAAAAAATGGTTATAAACTTAACATAAAAAAAAAGGCAAATATTGTCAAATATTTTAAGAACACTAATTAAAAAAAGCATTATTAATGAATGTACATATTTTCATGATTTTAATTAAAACTTTTATCCCTCCAACTTTTGTTCAACATTTAAGGTCTGACACGCAAATTACAAAATTAATTAGTATTCTAAATTTCATAAAAATATTAATTAAATTTTTATTCTATCAGTCTATTATATTATTAAATATTTGACTTATTTATTATCTTCTATAAAAATATTAATTATTTAAAATAACTTTCATCGATTTCATAAAATAATAAAAAAGTAGAAAAAGCTAAAATGTAAATTGAAATAATTTTTTTAACTCAAACACTCTTCGAAAAAAGTCAGTTCGATAAGTTAAGTTTGAAGAGGAGGGGTAGTTTGGGGAATGAGGAAAAGTGGAAAATGGAGGCAAACCGTTTCCGTTTAAAAAATCAAATCGAAAAAGTGAAAATGAAAGCACGTTTTGAGTTCTGATTCCAAACACCAAAACAACAATGCGCCATCTCAAACACTTTACCCCGAAAATGCAGAAAACCAAAAGCTGAAGTTTCACCCAAACGTGTTTTCCTCTCCTTTCGTTGATTCATTCCCATGGCAAGAGTTAAGCACACCCCAGCATCGCGTAAACCTGGTACCTAATCATTTCCATCTCTTCGCTTTCACTTCTCATTTCCAAAAACCCTCATTCCCTTTACTCTGCATTTTTACAGCAAGAAAGAAAGCGCCATCAGCATCTGCATCAACACCACAATCCCAATCAGTAACCTTCTCTCTCTCTCTATTTCGATTTACAAAATCCCCAATTTAACCTTTCTTTTCTGAATTTGAATGTCGTGAAGCCTCGTCGTAGCGAGCGGAGAAGAACTCAAGAGCAACCGCAGTGTATGTCGTTTCGAGAAAACCCACGTTCTGTTGTTTGTTTCTCAGTTAGTTTTGATGTTTTATTGTCGTTTATTAAAAATGAACATTGCAGCAGCTGAGACTCAGGGAGGGAAGAAAAGGCGCAGTAAGCCAGGAGCAGCGGCACTTCGCGAGATTCGAAAATATCAGAAGACTTTCAAGCTTCTTATCCCAGCTGCACCCTTTATTAGATGTGTGAGTTTTTCAGTTCCCTACTTAACCGCTGAAATTAAATTCAGAGTAGTGTTATTTAAAGAGATTTAGTGATAAATAATGTATGAGAGATTTTGGTTTTTGACCGAGTTTAATGATAGTGTGTAATATATGTAGCTGTTCTTACTTAGTTGGATAAGGGTTGGTTGTCGTGGTCGTTGTTTTAGTATTAATTTGGGTGTGCTGTTGCATAGAATCTAAACTTTTTGCATTTGTTTACTACTAATGGTTCGGTTAAAATTAGGCATTTGAGTAAATTAGTAGATGTCAATTATATTTGTTAGATAGTTTGCAGAATTAATCACTCCTTATCTCGCTTCACCATTTATTCAACTCATACAGCTATAAATAGTCGAATATTCATTTTAAACCTGGATAAAACTTAGGTGTAATATCATGTGTGAGTGTTTGTGTGTTTTGTGTTGTTCTTCAATCAAAATTGGAGTTTCACCTCAGTGACGCGCACCAACTTTTAATTCCAACTTTTTTTGTGCAGGTTTCCGTGGTGAAACTTTAATTTTAATTGAAGAACTGCGTCAAAAGCACTTGCTGGATTGCCAAAGTTTTGTACTTTTCACAATCCTTTTCTTTTTCCAGTTTCTCTTACATAATCACTATCAGATATAAACTTGGGTGTCAAAATAAGCATCATAGTTTGGTTGTTTTATTTATCCTTCGAGGAATATTTTTGTAGCCTTGTCTGTTTCACTAATGAAAGTGCTTGAAAAATATGAACATATAGAATTAAAGGTTTGCAATTTGTTGTTTATGAATATTTATTGGCATGGCAATAGGTCATGAATTCAGCTGACTTAAATCTTGCGTGAAATTTGTTGTTTCGTATGTTGTAATGTTCTTACTTTTGCCTGTAGGTCAAACAGATTACAAACCAATTATCTACGCAGGTCTCTCGCTGGACACCAGAAGCTGTGGTAGCACTCCAAGAGGTATGCAACTTTTTCATGCTTACTTGAGAGTCCTTGCACGTTGCAATTTATCTAAATTATAATGCAAAAGAAGTTATTTTCCAATGTAAATTCGTTTTAACTTCTTCCAGGCATTATTTCAATTTGTTCCTGGATGAAATATTAACACCTTTTGTACTTAGAATATTGTTTATAAGTTATTTGAATATACTGTCGTCCATTTTTTGTATATTTATTTTATGTATATGCTTTGCATTATTATGTAACAAATTGAAGCACAATGAAAAAATGAAATATTACTTAATCTGCTAAGAAAATAATCCATTGATTATTGAAGATTCAGATTTTAACGCTTTTTTTTTGGATGAGGAATGAAATAAGAGGAAAAGAATAAGGAGGGATAGAAATAAAAAGGAAATAAAGCAGAAATGTATAATGCAATATGCTCTAGTTCCCTGCAGGTCTTAATGAAATGAGTGTAATATCAAGTAAATTGTTTTTTCCTTAAGAGGTATCTGATCAGACTTCCTAGTGATGAACATTTGATTTGAAGGTACTCTATTTAATTTTTATGACAACATAAGCATTTCATTTATTCAAGAATCCTGCAACCGTATTTCATAAATTCTTATAAATTCAATAGGCGTAAATGGAATTTTTATTTTGGGTACTGGGGGAAAGGTCACGGGAGGGTCCACAGACCACAGGGTGGGGGAAGTGGGAACAGGGGATGGGAGGCAGGGTGCACTTTTCTTGCATGTTACAAAATCGAAATAGAGTGGATGGAATAAGTGTTGCGATCCCTGCTTTTGGATTATTATTAATGAGGGATGAAAGGTAAAGGGTTATTAGTGTAAATTATCAATATAACTTCAAAAATTATTTTAAGTAACTCCGTTTTACAAGGTATAATGGTAAATGATTTTTTAAAAATTAAATTTCATTCCCCTTCGCTTCCCAAGTTTTGGGAGGAGGGGGAACAAATGTAGAGTTGAAGGAGAAATGGTTCCCCTCTCATTTCCTTCCCTTCCAAAAATATTTAACTTTCAAGCATGGAGAACTACTCCTGACCCGTACTAAGTCCAAGTCAACAGTGCTGCTGATTTTCGTCAGTTACTTAAAAATGTTTCTGGTTGCTTTAAGAATTACTTACACCTGTTATGTAATTTATAACCATATTTCATATACAATATGGTCATTCTTTGAATTTTTATTTGACAATCCTGCAGGCAGCTGAGGATTATCTGATTCATATGTTTGAAGATGGAATGCTCTGTGCAATTCATGCAAAGCGTGTTACTCTTAGTAAGTTGATATAATTTTTCAAATCCTTTGCTCTGACTTTCCTTTCATTGATCATCAATTCATCCACAAATTCATCTTTCATAAATTCTATGTTGCTTTTATTGGTGATGAATGGATTTTTTTTAGTTACAGATAAATGAATTCCTTTATTGCTATATTAATTACATTTAAGAGGATAATTTACAGTCTGTAATCTTTATGATGGAGTTTGCTTTGGGGGATACAGAAAATACTAGAGAAATTTTTTGTGGTAGATTGTTGTGTAGTGGTTGGAAAATTTTGTATAATGTTATAAAACATCATGCATTGTTTTAATTGAGAAGAATGCCTGGAGTTCTGACTTATCATGTCCATTCACTCCCATCCTTTTAATTTGGTATGATCATTTTTAAAGAATGCTATGCTTGGCTATACCATGTAAAGGGCACGTGCAGCAACTGCTAGGTTCAGAAAGTGAAAAATTTTCATTGTGGACTTGGTTATTTCTGATCATGTAAAGGGTTTCGGAGGGCGATTAAGATCAACAATTTTCAGTATCAAAGAAAAGTCATTCTTAAGCAGAGATATTCGTGTTACCTTTTTTTTTTTGGGCCCGGGGGGGGGGGGGGGGCGCTGTATCATATTATCATCTAATCTCGTCGATGAACTTCGGTAGAAAAATATTTAAATGAACAGAATACTTGAGCAGACTTTATTCCTCTGGTGGAAAATAATAGAATATTCAAACAGAACTTTGGTTAGCAAGTAGTAGTTACCAAAATACATTATTGCTGTTTATATTGGTTTATGTTTCTCCCTTATGAATATTCCTGTGTTGTTTCTTTCAGTAACATGAATATAAATGCTCAATATGCCTTTTCTTTTGGTGCTTTTTCAGTGAAAAAGGATATTGAGTTGGCCCGTAGGCTTGCAGGAATAGGAAGGCCTTGGTGACTGCACGATGGCGGTAGTGAACAACATACTCCTTTTGTTATGTAAAAGCTTGACACTGTAGAGACCGGAGTACAAAGGATTTCAATGAAGCCATTGCTGCTTGTAAACCGAGCTCACAAATTGCAATGATTATTTCGCATTAAATACTAGGAACTAGGCTAACTCATGTATTGTCTATGATTATATCTTTGTAGGTAAAATAATCTGTTGTAAAATGAATCTACCATTGTAGGATAGTTTGCTACTTCTATGACTTCAAAATTGATGAGTGACGTACTAGTTTAACATTGTAGCATTGCCCTAAAAGAATCATAGTAATGAAAATTTTCAAGATTATTGTGATTTACATGATATTGTAGAAGGAATTGAAGGTCTAGTGAATGAATTGAGTAAATGAATTGGCTGTCAAATTTTAGTCTTCCTGTTCGGGACTGTACAAACTTGCCTTGGAGAATGGCGACCATGGAATTTAGACCTAACAGGGGTTGTTTTGCAAAGGCAATAAATCATGACTTCAAATTTGAGTCATGAGTCATGACTTATAATCAACTTATCTCAGGGCAATCTATGTCAAAGACCAAAATAATAATGTATTTGAAAAATATTATACTATCCTATTCATATTCATCTAATATTTATGTATGGTTAAATTCATTTATTTTTGGAAGAAATTTAGTTTGACAATTTTTTTTAAAGTTATAGATAACATTCAAATTAGTACATTAAAATATTTTGGAATAATTGTACGCTTACGTAAGAAACCACATTGCATGTACATAAGTACATAGCTATGACGTGTAACAAATCTGAAATAGGCAAACAGTGAGCATGCTTACAATATTGTTATAATCAAATCACAAAGAATGTAAAGAATATACCACTAGACTGAATTTTTTTTTTCAGTTTTATTATTTAAACACTAGATAATTAATATTATATATAATTTGTTTTCTTCTAAGTGAAAAAAGACAATAAAATAATTGCATAATAAGAAAATTAGCTAAATTCTTGTAAAGGCATCATCTAAAGACAAAGAAAGAAATTTAAAAAAATTATCTACAATGATGTTGACAAACTTATAAATATGTTTTAACCTAGTATCTAAGACTTTTACAACAACTTTAAGTAATTGAATCATATTAAGTGGGATCCAGATTGCTTATAGTTTTAGCAAGAACTGTAGACTATAATTTTGCATTCGCTTAAGCAAAATTTGGTAAAAAGTAATTTTAGTTTAAGCTAAAAAAAATTTACTTAAGTCAAAAATATTCGCTTAGGCAAATTTAAAAAGAGTGACAAAAAAATTAGAAAAAAAAAAAAGAGAAACAGAGGCTGGGAGGGAGATAAAAAATGAGAGCAAGAGCACAAGGGAAAGAAAAAGAGCAGGAGAAGGCTAATAGAGAGAAGAAAAAAAGGTTAGATAAGAAAAGAAAGAGAAGAAGATGAGTGAGGATGAAGGAAAATGGGTTGGTTAAAGGAAGAAAAAATAGAAAAAGAAAAAAAAGAAAAGAACTGAGTGATAGAAAAAAAAGAAAAAAATGACTAAATTGAAGAGAAAAAATAAAAGAGAAAGTTAAATAAAATTTACTTAAATAAAAATAAGTAAAAAAAAAATACTTTATTTTTATTTAAATAAATATTTTTAGCTTAAGTCAAAATTATTTTTTATCAAAATTTACTCAAACGAACAAAAAATTTACTTAAGGAAACACAAAACTGCAATTTGCAGTTTCTGCTAGAACTGCAAGCAATCCGTGTCTTATTAAGCGACGGTAAGCTTTTATGAATAGCAAATAACTCGACTAAGAATATTTACACTAAAGTGGCCTAAAAAAGCTGTTGACCAATAATTTAAATTTAAACCTTAGAGACTATCACGTCCCATCATTACAAAAGAAGAATTTCAACTACCGTTAATATTGAGTTTGATTTTATAATTAATTAAATAATTTCTAAATCTTCAAATTTTTATACTATTTTAAATAGTTTCTCATAAAAAAAAAGTAAATTATTCTTTGTGATATATCACGATTAGAAGTTATATATATATTTTTTGTTTTTTATGTGCATAAACATATGTTCCCAAAATTAAAAGAGATAACAAAAATAAAGGATACAATGTGGGAAATAATTTAATCTTACCTTAAACAATACCAGAACAGGATTAATTCACCCCAAATTATATTCGATTTATAATTTCTATGTCGCTTTGTTTGCCAGTGGTCCCCAAATAATAAACGTCAGTGTGAACACATTGCAACAAAGGCTGGGAAAAGTGTGGTACACGATACATTGAAAGGGATGACACTATAGAGTTTAGAATGAAAACTTAAATTGAAATTTTAAAAAAAGCTATTAGATTAAATTTTAAATTTTAAATTAAAAAACCATATAAAAATAATAATTAAAATTATTTTAAAAATTAATAAATATTTTTTCTTAACCTTCAAGTATAAAATTAAATTAAGTAGGGTATGACCCTTAATTGTGAAGGGAGGGTATATTTTACATGCTGGAACAGGGCATGTCTCCATCAGAATAATTTGCTGCTCTTTTCCCATCTCTTTCTTTCTTAAATTCATTCGTCAGTGGGTTTTTCTTTCATTGTTGTGGTCGTGTGTTTGTTATTTATTTATTTGTTTATTATTATTTCATAACACTTTTCTTATATGAAATTTCTCTTTAACGTTAAAGTTAGGAAACGGGGGATGTAATGTTTGTTGACAGATTATACAGAATAAGTTATCTGTATAGAAGTTTATCAGAATGTTTATTACAATAAACAAATTCTTCAATGATATGAGATATTTGAAGTTATTTTATTTTACAAAATATTTGTTCTTCTTTATATTTTCACAAAGTTGTATATATAACTGAAATAATTTTTTTACTATATATCTGTACAAAATTTTAAAAATATAATAAAAATAATGATTAGATAATTAAAAATAAAACATGTTTTCAAAAATCAAGCTGGCAGTTCATAGCTTCTATACATTTGTTGTTGGAAAAATCATATATTTTGTGTGATATCAACTTTTGTTCACATTACTAGAACAGGTAGGGGTGCACAAGAATTGTTTCAAACTAAAAAATTATTATCATCGAGCACGTGCTGATGAAAATTGTTTCAGTTTAATTTATAATTTTAAGTTTGATGGAAACGCAGTTATGTTAAATATTTAAAGGTCTTAGGATAAAATTATAAAAAAATATAAATAAACAAAAAAAATTACTTTTTCTGATGCGGTTTGAAATCAACAATATATTATTTATAATCAAATGTGTGTTTAAAATTATATTTTCACTCATATGTTTTATTATGAATATATTTTAAAAATATAATTATAAGACTAATCTTTGAAGTTAAGGAAAAGGGCAAGATAAAACTATCTTAAATTAAAATTTTAATACTTAAGCTCTTCACATTTCAAATAAGGTGTTCTTCCAACACGATGTTTGAGTGTTGGGTTAATTATAATCTTATTAAAGAGTTTGAACAATCTTATATTGATAATGAACATAATAATTTTATATATAAGATAATTTTAATAATGTTTATGAATTTTATTTTTTTTATATCTGAAAAGAGGGGCTAATTAAGTCCTCACCCAAATTATTATTTAAGAGAAATTATATTCTCCTAAACAAATATAAATATGTTTTCTTTCTTCTCTCTATCCATTTTTCTCATTTATGTTGAAATATAACTTTCCCATACCAAATTATTGATATGTTGACACACGTTGTGAAATCCTTTAACATATATGTGATGAAATTTTACAATTATTTAGCAGCAGACGGAGAAGTATGAAAATTCAAATCTATAGAAAATTCAAGGAAATGGCAAACGTTAATATGAACCCATTGTTCACTTCCATGCATCTAGAACCATATCTTGAAAATTTCAACTGGTTGGACCATGGGCACATCCATACGTGGCTGCTTGTGTTCTGTAATGCCCAACGCTTTTCTAATTAGCGTTTGGTACCACTGGTTTAACCCTAGAAAATAAAAATGTTAAACCCTGAAGCTAGAAGACAAAACATTCAAGGACCAAAAGCTTACGCGGTTCTAGTACTAAAATAAGCGACAAAACCTTCATAACACATCACACAGTAACACTCTTTCTCGCTTTCACTTTCCACAAAATAACCTGGCAGTTTCTTCATGGAAAATTTGCACCCCCGTCTTCGTCCTGTTTTTATTATTATTATCATCGTTGATGGCTTAATATTATTTATTAAATTTGAATTATTTTATATTATTGAATATAAAAAACAATTACAAAAAATCTTTAATAATAAACTCATTCATTATACCTAAGTATACGATGGATAAAAATAAAAAATATATAAATTTATTAAAATTAATTATTTTTGTTTAATATGATCGTATCATATTAATATATATTATAAAAGGATCAAAATTCTTATTTTTTATTTGCTCAAGATTATAAACAATGTGATCCAAATCATGACGCGTTGAAGTCAAATACGATGGGTCTCATTTTCAGATTATATGTTATAAATTTCGTTTGAATTCATATCTGTTCCATATAAATAGAAATGTATATCGTCAGTGCCAATCAAAGCGCAATCACGATCAAAGAACAAAAATTCGTTTAAACCTTTGATTATTTACCCAAAAGAGTAATTAAAAGTAAGTGGTTAATCTAGTTAAACTCAACCTTTTCATTTTAAACTTAATATATCGTCAATAATATATATGAATTAAATTTTTACAACATTTGCTATATTTTTACACGTCGCAATTTAACTGGGACTACGTCAAAGATCACAAGTTTGTGTTTTAAATGGTCGCAGAAGAAGAGATTTATTACCGAGTATGAGTAATAGTTAACAACAGTTTGATCTGTATGAGTATTAGTATAGACATTGTAGTAATTAATAATAATATATGCATAAATTATAGTTACAACAATTTTAAAGTTTACTTTAGCTAACTAAAAATAAGATTTGTTACAAAAATCATATTTATTATATTAAATTTATAAAATATAATAAATATTTTTTAATAGAATTTTATTATTAATAATTATTTAAATTTTAAATATTGAACTTATTATTTTCTTAAATTAAAATATTTAATTAAGCAATTAATAAAACGTATCTTAGAAATGTAAAATAAACATGATACGTATGTTAGGTTAAACATTTATTTCGTACCATTCTGGAATTCAATTTCAAAGTGTAACGTATCTTTTTTAGTGCGATATTAATTGAATTTGAAATATTAACCATGACTCTTAAATATTATGTGTCTAAATTATTATTTAACAATTAAATATTTTAATGTATAAATATTATAATATAATATTATATGTATCATATATGTTATAAGTTTAAACTCTAATAAGATGTTTGTTTTATCTATTAAAGATATTCAATTGTTAATTTTATTTATATCTAGTAAGATGTTATCGTATTATATGAATATTTTAAAATTTATATAAAATTAAAAATATAAATATATAAGAGATAAAAATATTACTATTATTAAATAGTTGTAATTTTATGTAACAAAAGAAAGACTATAATCAGAAATGTTTTAATTTATTAAAAAGTTATATATCATTATGATGAAAAAAAATTTAAATTAAAAACTAAATATAAAAATATAATTATAATGCAAATTTTTATACGCTAAATTAATTATATATTTTGCTTTGAAATGATAATGATATGTTTAAGTTGTTAAGAGAAAAGAGTTAATTTATTTACTTTTATTAATTTTGAATGATAGCGAAAATTTCGGTGATTTCGTGTATTGAAAAAAAAAATTTGAAAGTTTTTAAAATTAAACTTTATATACAAAAGCAAGAAAGTATTAACTATCATTATTAAATAAAAATAAATTTATTTATTTATTTAAGCATAAAGACTACGTTATAAGTTTTTAAAATATAAGAGCTTATTTCAAAACTAATAAAATGTTGGCATTAACAGAATTATTTTATATTTTTTGAAACAAATATTAATTAATGTTTTAAAGTATTAATTGAAAATAAAATACTAAAAGTTATTATTATAATATGCTTCATCATAATTTTTAATAGTTACTTTATACAGTTTTTATTAATTTTTTAACTAATATTTTTTAGTAAATTCCTTTTTTCATAAAACGTTAATTCCTGGTGCTGGTGGCGTTCAATGTTTAATCTTTTGAGTGGTGCAGCATATTGACACATCGTCTAATCTGTAAAGTGACAAGTTGGCTCTTTATTTGTGTAAATATCTGCACTGTTTATATATTGAAAAGTTCATAACATTTTAAGGAATATCAACTTGGATTTGTTGGTTATTTTCTCATACTATTGAAAATTCTTAGACCTGTGTTGCCGTTCAATGCTTATCTTTATTGAGTCGTGCAGCACAGCGACATATAGACCATTCTACAAATGATAACTCGTGTTAATATCTGCACTGTTTATATTATATTCAAATCTTAATGTCATAACATTTTAAGAAATATCGTCTTAGGGAGTATTATAGACTTCCAATTGCTAGTATAAATAGATAATATTTATAATAATCATATAGAGATCACAATGAAGTTTCGCTTCGTTGAAACCTAAATAAATTGATCGTTTTGGCAGGGTGGATGCAAATTGTGTTGGACCCATTCTTATTTTTTTATTTTGTAACTAAAAGTAGAAAAAAAAAGTACAATTTTCTTTTCTAATATCTTAATTTTTACATGTACAGATTTAATTAAAAAAGTTATGTTAAATATAAATTAAATTGAACATTTAGTTAACTAAAATTTTAATTTCATTTCTCAACTTTTTTGCATTTTTTATTTAATTTACAATTCTGAATTTTAAAATACTTAAACAGGCCAACCCATAAACAAAACCTTGAGCCATTAATTGGGAGTCATTAGTAAAAAGAAGATGAGTTGGGTTACTTTGTCATTTGCATTGTTCTACTTGTAGTGTTTGTCAAGATGCATTCTCAGATGATTAATACTTATGTCTTTTTAATGAATTTTGTAAATTTAAAAAATATTGAATGTAAAATATAAATTATAATCAATATATTCTTCATCAAAATTTTACTTAAATGGGAGAACTAGTCCAATTCCAATGGAGACCCTTATCCAAGTGGTAATATTTCTCTGTCCTTTGCCGCTCAATAAATACGTATGTCAACTACAACACCCTAAAGCTGTAAGTGTTAAAATGCACATGTAAGCAATATATTATTAAACTCATTCCTTGCAAGTTATATGTGTATATATAATAAGGTACCCAAGAGAGGCATTGATTGGAGACCACATTGTATAACTATCAACATCAACGTAAGCAAAGTGTTGCACATAATGCCAACTCTACACGTCAGTTTCCATGCTGTTGAGTGCCATTCAATGCATAATTATAAGCGTTTTATTTTTTGATATTACATGATTAATTATATATATTTTTATTATTTTTACCTTTTTATTTGATATTAACAAGAACATTATCTTAATCATAGACAATAATGGTAACGAAAGAGAGAAAGAGAGAGAGAACGCATTGGAGAGTTGTAAGATATGTACCATTAAAATTAGAATTAATATATATTATAGGATGGAACCAAGAATGTTCAGCCCTTCTTCCGCGTTGTTGCTCACTCTCTGGTGGAAGGGCACATCACCGCGTGTGGCTCTCTTTCACTTTTCTTTACCCATCCAAGGGGTTGGGGTTGGGGTGGGGTGTTTTCTATTTCATATTTGAAAGAGTCAAATAATTCAATAAGCAAAATCATACATTATCCTTCACTTTTTCTGTCACGAGGGATTTTTCTAATGAAATATGATAAACCTCAATCTTAATCTTGAAGAAGGCCCACAAAAAGGGACCCATATTGTAGAAAACTCACCAATATTTGGACAGTCAAATCTACCTCTTTTTCCTTCTCTTTTCTCGCCCTTATATCCCCCCTTCCTCTCACCTTCTTTGTTAAGCAAGACCCTCTCTTTCCTATTTGATTCATAGCTTCACACTCTCATCATCTATCCCTTATATCTCCTCCAATTAGCACCAGATAACTCATCACTTCCCCCTCCAATTAGCACCAGATAACTCATCATTAATGATCCATTTGACATTTCATCATTTCACCACTTTGCCTATTCCACTAGGATTATTTCCTAACTTGTAGTTTCAATTCTCTCTTTTTTGTGCAATTTCCCCTCTTCACATTCTCTTTCCATATCCAAAGTATTCCTATAATCTTTTGCAATTCCTTAATGGCCAATACTAAATAACCAAAGTGGCATATTTTTAAGTCATATAAAAGCTTAGTTTGAAAGTGTAAGCCTTTGTTGCTAACGTTTCATCTCCACGAAATGGTAGATAACATGAAGTGTGAACAAGTTGGTCTCATTGATGAGCTAATGCAAGGGAAGGAGCTAGCAAAGCAGCTCTGTGATCATTTGGTCTCATCATCATTACCATCATCACCATCATCATCATCAACAACAACATCACCACCACCATCATCCCATGAAACAAATGAAGTCCTAATTGAGAAAATACTTATCTCCTATGAAAAAGCACTTGCCATGCTGAATTGGAAGACTACTGAGGGAGAGAGAAAGACCAAGAATGGTAGCATGATGGATTCTCATTGTTCTTTCACAAATGGTAGCCCCAGAAGTGAGGTTCAAAACCTTGAGGTTAAGCACAAAGATGTCTTCAAGAAAAGGTTAATGTCGAAAGTTAAATTGCAAATTACTGCTGCTTTTGAACTTAGGTGAAGGAAAAGGTTCATGGTCTAATTACAATCTGGGTTTGTTTGAATTTGTTGGTTCCAGAAAGACCTTGCCTAGGTCGACAGATCAAGTGAAGGTGTGTTCAGGAACACCCCATGATGGGTCTCTGGATGATGGCTATAGCTGGAGAAAATATGGGCAGAAAGATATTCTTGGAGCTAAGTTTCCAAGGTAAGGTTATTTTTCCCCTCATTTAAAACGTTTTTAGCAAAAACATGTATAATTGATGTTTTTTACCACAAGGGAAAATTGCATAATTTGGCATTTTGGTATGATAGAAAGTAGAAAGGTTCACCTATCGAGCATATTTTTGTCATTGGATTATTATTGTTAGTACTAGAGGCCCCATGTACCCCTCCAACAAAAATTTCGCTGGCCAATTAGCTAATCAAACAAATTTTGGCACGCGCTCTTGTTTCTTTGTTGTTAACCTTTCAGCCAAATAGCGAGCTAGAAAGAAAAACTGCTTTTAGAAAAAGACCCTGTAAAACTTATCCAAAGGACAACGTTAGCTATATTGAATTCACTACACTTGCAGCTTTTTAATAAATGCACAAAGTGTCATTACTGAGGCCTCGAGGGGCTAGATAGAAGGGATGTATCCGTACATTAGAAAAAATCTGACAATCTTATCAAGTTGCTGAACTTGTTTGTTAAAGTATGATGATGGTCCTAAATGCTTGGCAGCTCATGGACCCATTTTTGGTAGCATTTAAAATAGTAGTAACATGCTAGCGGAATTAACAACTACAAAATAAGGTGACAGATAAAAAATTGGGCTTTAAGATATACCTCTTTTCAGTTTTTGGGCAAACAGAAAATTCACTATTTATTAAGTAAAAAATATGGTCTTTTATTAGAGTTACTCAAAAGAGCACAAAAGCTGTTCAAATTTTGTGTGGCGTGCTGAACATAGAGAAAAAGGCGTTCTGGCATACTAATTATTCTAACTGCTGAACATATTTTATATTGAAGAAATCAATTTTCATGTTTTTTCTGACAAACAGTGGTTTACATTGCAGAGGGTATTTCAGATGCACATATAGAAATGTACAAGGGTGTCTGGCCACTAAGCAAGTGCAAAAGTCAGATGAAGACCCAATGATATATGAGATAACCTATAAAGGAAGACACACATGCACCCAAGCAAGTCACTTAAACAAGGCATTCCCGTCGAAAGCAAAGACGGGTTTGGGAGAAAACAAACACCAAACCCATCAAAAGAATCAACCACAACAAGAGAAAATAGAACAACCCAGTGAGACAATTTTCTCTTTTGGATCAAGTCTTGAAGTTAAAATGGAGGACTTGGAAAACAAGGAGGACATATTCCCATCATTTTGCTTTGCTTCTCCATCAATAGGATCTGAAAATGAGGACAAAAACATATTCTCAGATTCCATGATTGAAAACAATTTCATGGAAAGCTTTTCTCCTGCATTCATATCACCAACAACTTCAGAATCGAACATTTTCTGTTTGTCACCATGCTACTTGGGCAGCACTGGACTAGGCCAAAGTGTGCAAACCTCAGAGTCTGATCTCACAGACATAGTTTCAGCACCAACTTCAATCACCAATTCCCTTATAATGGATTTTGATTTCATCCTTGATAAGTTCGATTTCGACACATTTTTCCCCTTGAACACCCCAGAACTTTGCTCTTCATAAATTGTCCTCTTTCAAGTTAACACAATATATAGTTTGTGTGCGGATTAACCATGAATTTTGTAGATCCTGACTAGCATCATAACTGAGGGAAGGAAATGCATCATAATCAAATATTTTGCATAAATGAATGCAATGAAACTTCCCTTTCATGCTAGTTAAGTGAGCTTTCATGTACCTAGGTTGTAATGTGAAAATAATTTGTATGCTGTAGCTTTAGTCATTTGTGGATTCTCAGTTCTCACTTGAGTTGTTGTAACATAGTTATGTGTCTTCTTCTGGCTCAAGCAGAGCGAGAAATTGTGAAATAAATGAATTTTCACCACATATTTTTGCATCTAAAGTTATGATCAATGCATTATTTCACCAAAGAAGAGACAAAATTATGATCAGTGGCCTCATTGTAATTGACAGATTTCAGATTCATCCTAAGATTACCCACTCTGAGTTATAAAAAAAGAGATGCATATTGTCCCTTCATTGGGATTTGAGCCACAAGTGTCACAAACTCTAAAGGCTAAATGGAATCATGGTTCTACAAAAGTATACAAATACATAAAGGCAAAATGGAATTTGTATGCATGTTTCTCAAATCCTTATCTGTTGTTTGGAATATTTGTCAATTGTGACCCAAATTACCAACCAACCATGCTTCAATGAGTCCTAATCGTTGTCTGTTACTGTTAACCCTACTGAATTAAGTGTTAACCTTATTCTCATTTTATGTGACACGGGGCTACAAAAAAGTTATGAAAACATTATGCCACTCACATGACAATGTCTCACCACATCAAAAATATATAATCGACTTGACTCGAGTCATTCCCACTGATGGCCATCACGATTCTTGTCCCTTTCGCCTGAACTATGACTCTAAATGAAAGCATTATCAGATATTATATTATTTTTTAATAATTCAAATAATAAGATTCATAGAATAAAGGATTATTTAAATGGGATATTTAAGGGAGTATCTACTAGATAAAAAAGCAATTATTGGGTTAGGTAACTAACGGTAATCTAATAAAATTGACAAGAGGATTATTTCAAAAATAGATGATTAAGGACTAATTTAATTAAAAAAAAAACTATAGAACTAAGTTAAAATAAATAAATAAATGAATAAATTTAGTTTAACTTTTGTTATTTAATCGCGTTTCAGATGCAGTTCCTATCATCCTCTAGTTTCCAACAAGTGTTTTTTTGGTCAACTAGATTACATTAAGTATTGTCCAGGAACAATGAACCACTGTTTTTCTTTTGGTCGAAAACAAGTGTTTTATGTCCAAGAGAAAGTGAAGATTGCAATGCGCTACATCGACCAAAGCCCAAAGGAACACAGCCTGGGCTTTCTGGTATACCTTTGTCTTACGTTTAACGATAATTAGAATTGCAGTGATAGCTGAGTTGTAAGAGCTGGAAAGACACAAGCATCATCATGACCGGGGTTTGAATTCTGGGTCTAGCAAATTTTCACATTCTCCTTTCCCAATTTTCAATACCCTAACGAACAAAAAAAATTGATAAAACGAGATCATCTTCCATAATTCGTTTGTTTTAATATGATGGCTGGGATTTTAGAATCTGAAAACCGTCCTGCTTATTATTCTTTGGTATTTTCAAGAGACTAGATTTCATCATTGTTTAATAATAATTTTATATACATAAGTACATACCACTTAACCCATTAGCATAAGTTTACACAATGTTCTTGTTAATAGATACTTTTTATTAGATAAAGTGTATATTGATGAAAACAAGCCTAATGGGCAGCCTGGCACACACGTTGTAATGTAATTGGTACATGGGTTGCCAAAAATATCAAGAAATGCGCAGAGCCCACCACTAGTCTAGAAAATACATCATTTTACCGTAGTGATTTCAGGGTTTTAAGATTCTGTAAAGTGGGAATAAGCTATATTGCATTAAATACAGATATTACTATGTTTTTAAATAATTATAATTATTTTACATTTCAGGAAAAAAATTGAAGAGAGTCACAGAATATGATAGAAGTGAAAGATTCTTGTTGCATCAAGCAGTCCAGTCAAGGTTAGTAAAAATTAAAATTTTATTTTTTTTATTGAATTAGTAAATAGGAAAATAGGAATTTATACTTTGAAATTAGAATTTTCATATATATAAAATATATATTACATTAGTTATATTATTTTAGATTTTTTAGGTAACAAATATTATTTAAAAGTAAAACTAATATTTATATTATTTATTATTGTAAATATTATTATGTTAGTATAACTAAATTTTAAACATGCATAAATCTGAATAAATTGAGAAATGTAAAATAATTAAATTAGACAAATATATGAATTAAAATTACATGTGATTGTTACCTGATTAATAAAATAAAAAAATATTTGTGAAAAAATAAAATTGAAATAATAAAAAAGAGATCTGTTAATTAATAATTTACATTGAAAAAAAATTGCGGTAGTTACTTTTGTAAAAATATAAACAAAAAAATAATTTGTACCATAATTAAAAATAGTAAGTAATTTATAGTTCTGAAATTAGGAAACAAAATTAGTCATCATTTAATTTATAAATTAGATTATTTAGAAAAACAAAATAATAATAAAAAATAATTTCAGTGTAAAAAACGTAAATCTATAAAATGTTATAGTTCTATTATAATATACGTATTTATTTAAATTTAAAATTATAATATGTTACATAAGTAGTTAAATGGTAATGAATATTGAAAATATATATATTAAAAATATATAAATATATGATTTAGAATTAGAAGTTGATTGACACTAAATATAAAAAAAAAATTGTGATAGTGTTCAAATTATAAAGATAAAAATTCTATATAATAAAAATTTGGTATTTATTTAAAAAAAAAAGCTAACAAAATATGCATTTGAATCATTACGAGGGGGAGATTATATAATTAAGAATTAATAAATATAAAAAAATAGGGTAATACTGAATATTTGACGAAATTAAAATAGAAATAAGAATGAAGATGTAATTTATTCATCACAAAATTAGTAATAAGTTTATTTGAATAGGTTAATTTAGATTAAAAATATTAAACATAAATAGTTAGTATTTTGTAGTTTTCACTCTTTGCATCAATTAAAATTTATAAAATTAGTTTAAAAATTATATCATTACTAAACAATCTCAATTTTAATAAAAAAATAATATTTTAATTTTATATATTTTTTTTTCAACATATTAATTTTACATTTTATTTTAATCATCTTTTTATTTCTTTTAAATATTATATCTTCATTTTCTTGTTACATTATTCTATTCTAATATAAAATAATAAAGTGTTAGAAATTAATATTCCAACACACATGTCAAAAATTATTAAATTATCTTTTGGACACTCTTATTTTATTAATTAAAATTTTGTGTCGACATTTATTTAGCCAATATTATCAATAAAAAATAACTATGTTATTTATAAATTGTATGACACTTTATTATTTTCACCTATGATGAGAATATTTTTCTCAATCACTCTATACAGAAAATTACGTTCTTCATTAACCCTTTTTAAACAAGAAAGCCATGAAAGAAGTATAAGTAAAAAAAGAAAGTTTAATAAAAATTAAATAATAATAATTTTTTTATAAAATTAGAATACTATTTTTCTTCTTAATTTTTATACACAATTTTAATCGTCAAAAAATAAAAATAGAATGAATAAATATATTTTTTTAATAAACATTCACTATTTTATATGCTTAGAATAAGCCATTGAATAAGACTTATCTAAAACACGAAAAAATAGATTTGAGTAGAAGCATAGAAAAATTGTTGCCGTGAACTTACTTCTCATATTTTTTTTTTTTAGAGTCAATGTTGATTGAATGAACTGTAACACACACAACTCAAAAACTAAACTCAAATCTTTAAGCCCTACCCTATAGTAAACCTAACGTAGGTGTAATGATGATCTTACAAAATTATTATAGAATAGTTAGTATATATAATACTGAAAACAAATAATTGCATCGATGATAACACTAATAACCAAGACAACTTTTGAGCGCCAATACAGATAAGAAAAGAGAAATCATAAGGGAAAGAAAAGGAAAACTAAAGAAAAAAATTCTGATAAGCTTCTTCATCAACAATTGAGATTTTTCTTCTTTATATTGTCTCACTTTCTCTCACCTTTGACAATTTCTTTAGGATTTTCTTGCTACTTCTATTGCCTCACTTTTAGAGGATTTTCTTGCTACCTATTGACACCTGTGGTGTCATTTGCCTCACGTTCCTGGTTTTTTGAATCAACTGCTACCTGTCTAACTAATTCTGGACGTAGCTACGGAAGAATGTGAAAAGGCAACAAGAGAGACGAGCAAGAAATAAGAAGCGACTTCAATCACATGGATGCAATTGTTTCACTCTTCTCACCTAAATCTCTTGCAGCTGCCTCCTTAAGCTCTTCCATTCGATGACAAAGCTTTTTCCCTTCCTCACCTTCCATAAGGTTCTTCAAACACTCGCTATTTCTTCTCTTTCCACCGATCCATTTTCATAAACTATTGGTCTAAGTGCCACTTTCATGTCTTCTGTGACCAAAACGGCATTCATCTCCTGCTCGGCATGGATACGAGGCCCAGCCCACGGAAGGATCCTTCAGATGGAACCGCGATGGATCATAGACCCACCGGAGGATCCATGACTCAGGACTTGGGCCTGTGGGGCCCAATTCGGCACCCCACCAAGCTCCTCCCTTCGGTTCTCTCCAAAAACCCATTAGGCAAGAAATTAAGAGGGTCAGGGTCAGAATCCACAGTGAAATAAGAAGCATTGGGATTGTCATCATTGGGTCAAAATTATGATTAATAATATAAAAAAAAATTAACACAAAAATATATAAACAAATTTGAACGCAAAAATACAAAAGTGATTTTGCTCGCTCACTTTAATTATAGAGTTAGATTTTAGCATAAAAAAATGTATTAAAGATAGAAAACTGTAATACTGTGTCTGATTTTTCTTTGATACTTGAACAAATTTTTATTTTTTCACTTATTATTATTTTGTAAAATTAAATAATAAATAATATTTTTTATCCGATTATCTTTAATGAATTAATCTTCATTTAGCATAGATAATAATTAAGTAAAATATTATTTAATACTTGATCACTTCATATTATTAAATGCCACACTTTTTTTTTTAACAATTAGATCTCACTCAACCTGTTCTTTAACTTACCCTACGCAGTACATATTTTCTAGAGAATCGATTTTGATTGAATGCTCTATGAAACGAACAAAAACTAACAAATCTTTCACCTCTGCCCTCAACCTAACGCACTCCTTCGATTCATTATTAGAAGCTACAGATTGCGAAAAGGTATCCAACAAGAAATAAGTAGCAACTTCAATTAGATTATGCATGCTGTTGTTTCGCCGTTCCTTTAGAGCCAACTGAGAAATTTGCTTGGTTGAAGAACCATTTTCACCTAAAGCTCTTGCAGCTGCCACCTTTAGCTCTTTCATACGATGAAGAAGCTTCTTCCCTTCCTCACCTTCCATAAGGTTCTTCACAACACTCGCTATTTCTTCTCTTTCCACCAATCCACTCTCATAAACCTTTGGTCTAAGAGCCACTTTTGTGTCTTCTGTGACCAAAACAGCATTCATCTTCTGCTCCGCATAGAGTGGCCAAGCCACTAATGGCACCCCATTCAACACACTCTCAAGGATTGAGTTCCAACCGCAATGGCTCACAAACCCACCGGTGGATCCATGACTCAGGACTTGGGCCTGTGGGGCCCAATTCGGCACCACCAAGTTCCCCCCTTTTGTTCTCTCCAAAAACCCATTTGGCAAGAAATCAAGAGGGTCATGGTCAGTATCCACAGTGAAACAAGTATCCACAGTGAAACAAGAAACACTGGGAATGTAATCATTGGGGCACTTCGCAACCCACAAGAACCTTTTCTCACTCATTTCCAACCCCAAAGCAAGTTCTTCTGTTTGAGCACGGGACAGGGTTCCACCGCTGCCAAAACACACAAACACAACACTGCCACGTGGCTGGTCATCCAACCACTTCAAACATAAGCACTTATCCTCGGTTTGAGCAATGTCTTCATTAACTAGCGGTCCGACCGGATAAACCGGTGGTCTACCCGGTTCTTCCTTTAGCAACAACTTAATAACTTGGGGTTCAAGCTCTGCGAAACTGTTGGCTATGATTCCTTTGGCCAAACGGAACCGCTTGCAGTTACTGAGGAAAAAGTTATAGGTGTCGTCGTTTCGGTCTTGAACCGGGTCCATCAAGTCTTTACCGTGAATGGGAATGCAACCGAGAGGTCCCTGAACTCGCTATGAACTTCTTGGTCGAGTCGGGGTAGGTAAAAGACGAAGGACAAAGCCATGGCCGTAGAGGTGAAAAAGATGTAAGAGGGGATGCTGAGTTCTCCGGCGACGTCGAAGACGTCGATGCAGAAGGGGTCGACGATGAGGGCGGTGACATTGTGGGTGGCGACGAGGGAGTGGCGGAGAAAAGGGAGAGAGCGGAGGACGGTGAGGAAGATTAGGGTTTCGATTTTGGTGTTGGGGGAAGGTCTGAGAGAGAGACTTGGGGGAGGAACACATGCGAAATGGCACGTGACAAGGAGCTGAAGAGGGTGATTTGGGGCTTTGTCGGAGGGGTGCTGGTGGGTATGAAGAACTTGACGTGGAGTTTATGGTGGGCGAGTGAGTCTCTTTGCGAACTCAATCATTGGGATGAGATGTCCCATTCCTGGGCTTGGCATCATGGCCACTATGGGGGAAAGTTCTTGTTTTGATGTCACACTTTGTTGGGTTTCCATGGAATGAGTGAGTAATTAAGGCAATGTCGAACTATTGTTTTTGGTCTTGCAATTGTTGTGGTATTGTTCTTTGGGTTATGTAGATGCTATGCCTCGTTTATAACATGCCTAATAATTAATACGGGTTTTCTAAACTGCGAAACTTTCCGCAGGATAAAGACTAATAAATATACCACTTAACTGAAGGACAGAGTAAAAAATAATTTTTCTATGATAAAATAATTAATATAAATTAATCAAATAATATATTTATTAAAATTCATCGTTTGCAAGATTGCACATGTTAAAAAAAATTTAATTAATAAATCATTAAAAGCCAAAAGGTTTACTTACCGAGAAATTTTGTTGAATATATAAAATTAGAAATGTTCCACGACCGCGAGGTGGGTCTCGTGAAAGTGATGCTTTCATTTATTAATAATCTAATGTTAGATCAACCTCTAATAATATCTTATTTTTCTAACAGAATATAAGATATATCAATACAAGCGAAGGAATTTTTTACAACTCTTTTATTTAATTTAAAATTTAAAACTCTTCCACTTAATTTAAATTTTTAATTTAATTTATATATTAATAAAAAAAATTAAATTAAATGTAAGAAGATCCATTCTTATATATTTAAATTTAAATTTTTTATCAGCAGATACAAATATACTGATTGAGTCAAATTTAATAATTGACAATTTTTAAAATGGGATATTTTCAGTGCTAAGACCATCGCCTAACATTAGTAAACTACTAATAAGCCTCAATCATAAACACGCACGTGGTGCCGTCTGAAGATACTCATGTCCCAGTTAAATGGAGCTTGAGGATGCTTATACAGTGGATCGAGTTCTTTAAACACATGGGAAGCACTACTACCCTACTTAATTAAAGATGGACAATTAATGGATAAACAATAACATAGCACCAGAAAATTTTTCATCTCAAACATGACTTTGCCAAATTTATTAATAATATGATTAATTATTTATGAGTTTTGAATATTTAATAGTGATTTATGTAAAATATAGTCTGGATTTAACCTCTAAATCTATCATAAGAAGTACTTAAGATTAATAAATAAGGTGATTAAGTCTCATCTGCCACTACAAAAACACATTTCACTGTTCCCTATATTCGTTCCAAGGAAAATTTCAGATTAGGAAAACTTGATTTAGCAAAACAAAATATTAACTTTTCATTCACGAAAAAATTCGTACTTCACGTTCAGATACAATTCACGATAAGTGACTTCACCGCTTCATATATTGGTCTTCTAAATTAATATAATAAGATTGAACTTAAATTTATTCGGAGGATTTGAAAGCCACGTTAATTTGTTAAAGTTGTTTTGCCCAGCCACTTGAGAACCAACTGGGACATTTGCTTGGTTGAAGATCCATTTTTTTCACCTAGAGTAGTTGTAGCTGCCACCTTAAGATCATTCATTCGATGACGAAGCTTCTTCCCTTCCTCGCCTTCCATAAGGTTCTTCACAACACTCGCTATCTCTTCCCTTCCCACTAATCCATTCTCATCAACTTTTGGTCTCAGTGCCACTTTTGTGTCTTGTGTAACCAAAACGGCATTCATCTTCTGCTCCGCATAGAGTGGCCAAGCCACTAAGGGCACCCCATTCACCACACTCTCAAGGATTGAGTTCCAACCGCAATGGCTCACAAACCCACCGGTGGACCCATGACTTAGGACTTGAACCTGTGGGGCCCAATCTGGCACCACCAAACCCCTCCCTTCGGTTCTTTCCGCAAATCCCTTAGGCAAAAAATCATAAGGGTCAGTGTAGGTATCCGCAGAAAAATAAGAGGCATTGGCAATATTCTCATTTGGGCTCTTCACAACCCACAAGAACCTTTGCTCACTCATCTCCAACCCCAAAGCAAGTTCTTCCATTTGTGCACGGGACAGGGTCCCACCACTACCAAAACAGACGAATAAGACACTACCACGTGGTTGTTCATCCAACCACTTCAAACATAAACACTGTTCCTCTGCTTGAACAATGTCTTCATTAACGAGCGGTCCAACAGAATAAACCGGCTGTCTAACCCGATCAACCCCTTGCAACCACTTGATAGTCTCCGGTTCAAGCTCCGTGAAGCTGTTCTCGATGATTCCTTCGGCCAAGCTGAACCGCTTGCAGTGATGGAGGAAAAAGTTATAGGCATCGCTGTTTCGAACTTGAACCGGGTCCATCAAGTCTTTTCCTTGAACCGGCACGCAGCCGGGGATGGGGACCGGTTCAGCGAGGTCCCTGAAATCGCACTGAACCTCTTGCTCGAGTTGGGGTAGGTAAAAGGCTAAGGACAAAGTCATGGCCGAAGAGGAGAAAAAGATGTAAGAGGGGATGTTGAGTTCTCTAGCGACGTCGATGGCGTCGGTGCAGAAGGCATCGACAACGAGAGCGGTGGGATAGTGGGTGGCGGCGAGGGAGTGGCGGAGAGAAGGGATAGAGCGAAGGATGGTGAGGGAGATTAAGGTTTCGAGTTTGGTGTTGGGTGGAAGGTCTGAGAGAGAGACTTGGGGGAGGAACACGTGCGAAACGGCACGTGGCAAAGAGCTGAAGAGGGTGGTTTGGGCCTTTGAGGGAGGAGCATTGGTGGGTATGAGGAAGATGACGTGCAGGTTGTGGTGGCGCGTGAGTCTTTTGGCGAACTCTACCATTGGGATGAGATGTCCCATGCCAGGGCTTGGCACCATGGCCACTACACGTGGCAGTGTCTCTTCTTGTTTTGATGTCACACTTTGTTGGGTTTCCATGGAATGAGTGAGTAATTAAGGCAATGTAGAACTACTGCTTGGTCTTGCAATGGTTATGGTATTGTTCTTTGGGTTTATGCAGAGAGCTTTATAAGCAGCAAATATATATAGATATGTTTATGGGGTGAGGCTGAGTTTGATGAATCCATGGTTATAAAAACAGAAGAAAAGAACAAGTGCTATTTTAGTTTAGATTCACGTTAAAATCATGCCCTAACGAAAGTAGATGCTATGACTCGTTTATATCATGCCTAAGAATTAATAAATCATAAAATGGCCAAGGTTGACTTATTGTGAAACTTTGTTGAATGTATAAAATTATAAATGTTCCACGAGGTAGGTCTCGTGAAAGTGATGCTTTCCCTTTTTTTATTACCACACGGGACATCTATCTTACAAAGAAAAACGCTAGCTATATGTTTTTTTTTCTAATTACTAATACTACGAAATTTTTTTTCCAAATTTTTAATCTATTTTTATAAGTTTAATATAATAAATTTATACTTTTATAAATAATTTTTTATGTTATTGTATTTAAACTGTATTTTTTTTAATGTACATACACATACAAGATAAAAAAGATAAGAGACGAAAATAATAATAATAATATACAGTATCACCTAAAATTTTATTTTTTTATGGTTCAAATAACAAATTAATGCTTTTAAAATGTAGAGATCAGAAACATAAAAAAGTATTAAAACTAACTTAAAGAGAGAGATATTTAATCATTCATTTAGTAATAAATTTAAAATTCAGTTGATATTTATCTAATTATTCTAAATATATATAAAATAACTAAAAACAAGAAAAGAAAAGGGTTAATACGAAATATAATAGATCAAAAGACATTTAAATGAAATAAATGAAAGATAATAAAAAAATAAAAAATTTCCATAGAATACTTTTAATAAAAAATATTTATTAATATAGTGTGAGGTAACAACTTACGAAACAACTTTCGACGAAAGTGGTTTAGTAATATATCACTATCCAACGCTCTTAGTGAAAGAGTTTTAGTAATATTTAAATTTTATAGTGACTACTTAAAGCTTGAACACTTTATTTATTTACATGCTTACCAACACTATTATTTATTCACATGATTAACGAACATTTATTTTAAAGTTTCGAAAAAATATTGAGTAAATTCATTTGAAAATTTTATGCATAATTAATATTTGCACTGAGTTAATCTTAATTCTAAATTTTACATTAATTACAAAAAGTGTATGAATTATCTAAACAGACTAATCATAGTAAATATAACTTTACTTGTTTTTTTTGGTTGAATCCTTATTTAGAGGTTAAAGGATTAACAAGGGGAGGATAAACATTATAATTTTAGTTTATTCTTTTAATTTCTTATAAAATAAATGAACACACTTTCAATGATATTCTTAGTTGTAATTTATTGTGACGTATGTTATATGCAAACAAAACTTGCTTGCAACTTTTGAAGACGTACGATTTTGAAAGTCTCAATTATTTCGGGAGGGTTGGTATTGGTAAGCATGTGCTCGCGGCATTTAAATGCAAATGCATTTTTAATAAAATAATTAATACTTATTATATTTTAGTTTTATATTCATCTTTTTTTTTTTGTCTGTTTATTTTATTTTTAATGCTTGTGTCACTTGTCTTACTTATCATTTTCTTCTCGTCTTGAAAGTGTGGAAAAACATTAATGTTCGTATTAGACAGCCAAAAAATAAACATTTTATTCACAGACAAAAAGTTAAGTGTTATAATTATTTTGATCAGTGACATAAATTAATAAAAGAAAATAAACACTATAAAATGGGTTTTTTACATAAATAAAATAAAAAAATCAATATTACATATATACATTAAAATAAAAAATTTTACATAAATATCCTAATTTAAATTTTATGAAAGTCGATGAAAAAAATTAACTTCAATATCAGTATACAAATCGATTTAAATTGATTTTAGCAATGTAATAAATAAGTCGATTATAATCGTTTAAAGAAAGTTAATTATAATCAATTTTAATTTAAAAAAAATAATAACTAATATACATATTTAGAATATAAATTACGATAAATATATACGTAATTGAAAAAGTTTTGATTCTATCTTTACACTCTCAAGCTAAATGAAAAGATGATAAGTACAAATTCTACGCGTTATTTAAAATTGGGCGATTTATGAAATAGATACCATGATAATTCACAAATGAAGTAAAAAAAATTAAAATTTCCTTTACTTACTCAATTACTAATCTTACTCAATTACTAATCTGTTCATGTTATAAGGCATAAAAGTATTAGATGCAAGAGATTGCATATTCTCAGGTTGGTATTGTGTAAAGGTGAGGCGGTTGGAGTTTTCAGATATCATGGTATTGTTGTTACTATACTTAATTGACTTTTTATAGACTTTATTGAATGATGACATCTTTTATTCTTCTACATATTCTTGTCTCAAAATTAGTGTTATTTGAGAATTTCATATGGAAACTTCCTTATTTCATTACACTAAAACTATAATCATCACATAAAAATCCAACCTTTATAAACATTAAGAGGTTCAAAAATATATTTTATTGAGAAAAGTAACTCATTGTATTATATGTATTTTCAACTTGAACATAATAATTAGTTTTGTTGTATTAAAGACAGAAATATATAATAAATATTTTTTAGTAAAATTTTATCAAGATTAGTTGATAAAATTCATTAATTTTAATATTTTGATAAGAATAAAATTACTTTAGAATTTTAATTTCATGTACTTTGAAATTTAAATTTTATACAGTTTAGAATTTAATTTTTATATTCTTTAAAATATTATTTTTGCATTGATATTATTTAATAATTTATAAAATTATTATATAAAAATATTAATAAATTTAGTTAAAATTATTATTGTTTTTTTAATTTTGATAAAAAATTTAAAGAAATTATATAACTTCAACATAGATAGATTATAATTCAAACTCAAAAAATACACTTAAGATTAACTAACACAGAAATCGATTATAATCACTCTTTTGTAATAGAAGTTGATTATAATTGACTTTTTTATTAAGTTGTCAAAAATAATTATAATCAATTTTTATACTCGTATCTGAAATTAATTTTAATCAACTTTTATGTAATTTAAATTATAACATTTTTGTAAAACTTTTTATTTTGGTGCATATACGTAATATCCAGTCATTTTTATTTTATTTAGGTAAAAAAACCTATAAACAAATACAATATTTTAGCTTTTTTACTAACATGTTGCCCATTAATTCAACATCAAACCGTTAATATATTGTAAATCTTATTTTAGCAAGAGATCGAAACACTGATTAATTTTCGTCAACATCTTACAGAAAAAGGTATTCGGACAAATCATCTTACCCCTAAAAATATTTTAAATTCTGATTTCAGTTTTGATAAACTAATTTTTTGATATTAATCTCAACGTCTAAAAATAATTTAATTTCAATTCTATTTACTAAACAAGACGCCTTTAATTTAAATATTGTTATATAATAATATTTGTACTATCTATTCAATTTTTGTCAAATCACACTAGAAAGACGAATCAAAATTAATATTTTAAAAAATATAAAAAATTATAAAAACTAAAATCAAGACTCAATTTATTTTGACGGGATAAAAATACATTTAAACTAATGTACAAGTACGAAAGACATGAACGGTTTTGATCTCAACTTTGCTGTTGAGATACGTACTTAAACAAACGATTTAAATTTTTTTAAAAAAATCTCTTTTATTAGTTATTATATTTATTTTTTATTCTTTTATTTATTTTTCTCTTTGGGTATAGACTACTTTCCTTTCTTAGTTGTTTATAACACAAAATTTAATGTTATGTTTAAATGTAATAGAAAATGAGTAAAAAGAAAAAAAAAGAAAAAAGAAAACAGTGAAAAAGAAATCTGAAAGAAATGGGATGAAAAAAATGTATTGTTTCGATTGAAAAAAAATAGAAAAAAAAACAATAAAAAATTATTTTACTTATTTAAATGAATAAAAATAGAGTAGAATAAATATGTAATTTATATAAAAATAACAACAATAGTACTAAAAAATTTATGTCAAGAAAAAAATAAAAATATTAATATAAGATTTTTATTATATAATTTTTATATCATGTTAAAAATTTTTTTTATAAAGTATAAATTTTTTAAAAAAAATCTCACTATCATTTCGCACAAAATTTCACTATTTTGTGTGTAATTTTTAATGAATTGCTCAGAATTTCTTTTTGCAGTATGAAACAAAACATCTAAATAGTTTTTTTTTTCTACATTTTTTCATCTCTACATAACTTCTTTTACTAAGACAAACAGAGGATAAGTGTAATTTATTTTAGATTCTATTAATATTATTGAGTAGTTAATCAAATTTTATTTTTTTAATAATCTACAATAATTTGAAGATAAATACATTATTAAAATAAAATATTAATTTTAATTGATAAACAAGAGGGATAGCAGCTACAAAATACTATCTAAATTTTCCCCTTACTTACAAGCCCCACATCTAATACTTGCTCCGGTGCTGTGATTCAAGCGCATCTTAATGAACAACACAGTTCACGAAGAAAACAATAATGGGGAATGGGACATATCCTGTGTTGAGATCTTATCCAAGGACGCATCTCAAGGAAATAATTGCCCACTCAAACTCCATGTGGTGTTCCCAACACTAGCATTTATATAACACCGTCAATTTATGCTTAATTAAATAGAAGAAAAACGCAGAAAAGAGAACAAATGAAAGATGATAATTCTACTTTACTTGAGATAATTTAAGTACGGGCCACATTAATTTGTCGTTAATTTGTTGTGGTTGTTTCGCCCTTCCACTTGAGAGCCACCTGAGAAATTTGCTCGTTTGAAGAACCATTTTCCCCTAAAGCTATTGCAGCTGCCACCTTAAGCTCTTTCATTCGATGAAGCAGCTTTTTCCCTTCCTCACCTTCCATAAGCTTCTTCACAACACTCGCTATTTCTTCTCTTTCCACCAAACCATTCGCACGAACATTTGGTCTAAGAGCCACTTTTATGTCTTCTGTGACCAAAACAGCATTCATCTTCTGCTCCGCATAGAGTGGCCAAGCAACTAAAGGCACCCCATTCACCACACTCTCAAGGATTGAGTTCCAACCGCAATGGCTCACAAACCCACCGGTGGATCCATGACTCAGGACTTGGGCCTGTGGGGCCCAATTTGGCACCACCAAGCTCCTCCCTTCGGTTCTCTCCAAAAACCCATTGGGCAAGAAATCAAGAGGGTCAGGGTCAGAATCCACAGTGAAATAAGAAGCATTGGGAATGTAATCATCGGGGCACTTCGCAACCCACAAGAACCTTTTCTCACTCATTTCCAACCCCAAAGCAAGTTCTTCTGTTTGTGCACGAGACAGGGTTCCACCGCTGCCAAAACACACAAACACAACACTGCCACGTGGCTGCTCATCCAACCACTTCAAACATAAACACTGTTCCTCAGTTTGAGCAATGTCTTCATTAACTAGCGGTCCGACCGGATAAACCGGTGGTCTACCCTGTTCTTCCTTTAGCAACCACTTGATAACTTGGGGTTCAAGCTCTGGGAAGCTGTTTTCTATGATTCCTTTGGCCAAACTGAACCGCTTGCAGTGATAGAGGAGAGTGTTATAGGCATCGTTGTTTCGGTCCTGCAAAGGTTCTGCAAAGTCTTTGCCGTGAATGGGAACGCAACCGGGGATGTTGACGGGTTCAACGAGGTCTTTGTACTCGCATTGAACCTCTTTGTCGAGGCGAGGAAGGTAAAAGGCGAAGGACAATACCATACCAGGGCTAGAAAAGTAGAGGTAAGAGGGGATGTTGAGTTCTCCGGCGACGTCAAATGCGTCGGTGCCGAAGGAGTCGACAACGAGGGCGGCGACGCGGTGGAGGGCGGCGAGGGAGTGGCGGAGAGAAGGGAGAGAGCGGAGGACGGTGAGGGAGATTAGGGTTTCGATTTTGGTGTTGGGTGGAAGGTCAGAGAGAGGGACTTGGGGGAGAAACAAGTGCGAAATGGCACGTGACAGTGAGCTGCAGAGGGTGGTTTGGGGCTTTGAAGGAGGGGCGTTAGTGGGGATGAGGAAGGTGACATGGAGGTTGTGGTGGCGCGTGAGTCTTTTGGCGAACTCTATCATTGGAATGAGATGTCCCATGCCTGGGCTTGGCATCATGGCCACTAAAGGTGGTAGTGACGTTGTTGCACATTGCTGGTCTTGCATGGTTCTAGTTATGAGCAATGGTGCTGTATATCTTGCACTAGCGATATGGTGTTGTTTTGGGGGAAAGAGAGGGACAAGAGTTATATTTAAAATCACAATAATTAAAATGAAAGACGTGTACTCCCTCGCTAAAAGAATGAATAAGATTTATCCCTGTAGATGAATAAAGCTGGGGACTGTTGATACCTGCATGTGTCAAAGATGTTTAGTTATCAGTATACTTCTATTTTGAGTGTGTGCCAAAATTACTTTATGCTTTTTTACCTTTTATTCCATAATCAACTCAAGCACAAAATTTGCAGCAACGCACTCGTCACTCTTTTTTCTCTCTCAGTCTCTGCCCCCCTCACATCAACTTCACAACAAACACTCATTTGTGATCACTCCACTCTCACATGCTGTTACGTTGTATGGTTATTTATTCTTTATTTTTTGTGTTGGGTCAGAGATTAGTACACAGCATGTGAGCGAGAACAGTGAGTCCATTAGGTGTCGTGGTTGCTGGTTTGGGTCCCAACACAAGTTAGCTGGGCAGACATTTACATTTTGGTTTTGAATATTCAAGTGCTACGCATCAGAAAATGAAAAATCGATAAATGTGGAACTTAATGCACGTTAATATTTTAGTAAAAACTATTAATAACTTAATGAACGATAATAAATTAAATACTGTATTTATTAATTATAATGCATTTATTACAACGTTAAAAATTAAAAATATATAATTAAATAGGAATTTAAATGTTTAGCATTTTATAGCCTAAATTTAATTTATAATAATATTTTAATATAATTCAATTCAAATTTATATTAATATAATAATATAATAACTTATTACTTCACATCATTATTTATTATTATATGCAATGCTAATAATGCAATTAAATGCTATATTCAACTATTATAATATATTTATTAGGAAAGTGACTCGTGAATCGTACGAATAAATTATTATGTTATAATATAATATTATAATTAATAATTGTAAAATAAAAAATAATTATATAAAATATTTAAATTATTTTAAAATTTAAAATTAATTAGTATATATTAATATTATTACTGATAAAATAATTTCATAAATTATATAAAGATTTATAATATATTTTTAAATATTTATAAATTAACTCTAAAAGTAAAAGGATTGAACTCAAATATAATTTAAATTTATAAAATATAAATTTAATTCTATAAAGTTTAAAAATACTCTTATAATTAATTTGAAATAATTTAACATGTATACCTACATACCACAACATAAAGATTTTTTATAAAAGAAATAAATTTTAATATATTTAAAATATTTTAAGACAAAAATTATTGAAAGAATAAAATTATATTTCTTATTTTATTTTACAAAATTATATAGCACATAATTTAAGGATAAAAAAATTAATTCTTTTATTAAATAAGCTTATTTTATGTTTCTGAAATCACTGTTATGTATCAAGTATCATAATTTAATTTCTTATTATTGAATCATATATTTATCAATTATATATATATATATATATATATATATATATATATATGTCACATAAATTTCTTTATATTGTATATTAGTATATACTAATATTATAAATTATAATTTAAATATAAAAATATATAATAATAAAATTATATTATGTTGAATAATATCAAATATAATTAGATTAAAAATAAGATAAATAAATTTTCATATGCAAATTTTTATATACTTTATATATTTTAAAATTTCAATTAAGATTTAAATAGAAAGTAAAAAAGAAGAATAATTTTATTAAAAACAAAAATGAATCCTTATAGCAATTAAAATTACACATGTTGATATAATATAAAATTTATGAGTCACATAAAATATAGACAAATATTATGATAAGAACAACTTTATAATAATATTTAATTAGCATATGTTAATATTATCATTAATAAAAATATTAGTTATTTGAAAGAAAGAAATATAGTATATAACTTTATAAAGTATTTTTCTTTCATATTGACATTAGTTAAAAAAAAGTTATAATTTTTATAATAAATTTAATTTATAATTAAGAAATATTCTCTTGTAATGTATTGATATTATACAGATAGTCAAAAGTTTTCTAATTAATTTTATATGAACTGATTTAGTTACGTAACAAATATAATAATATTAAAAGTTAAAGTAATAATACAATGTATTCATTTAATCAACTATTCTTCATTAATCAAATATCAATTAGCAGATTTCAATAATAAAATTTAAAGTAAACCATTAATATGAAAATTCAAAATTATCGTAAATTTTGTAAGAATAAATGCATTAATATATTAATATTAAAGTTACAAATACTAAATTAATATTAATTCTTATTATTTTATTATTTTATTACCTTTCAAATATATAAATTAATTATTTATAATTTATTCATTCTACTATTTTTCATGAATGATCCTATATGTTAATATTAAGGTTAAAAAGAACATACAAATATATTAATATATATACACATTAAATAAAATATAATTTTTTTATTTTTATTAAATATTTTACATCCATATAGCTCTCATTTGATTATTTATAACAAATTCAAATGTAACATTTACCTTTAGAATATATATATATATATATATATATACATTGTATGAAACCCAATTGGCATCTAAATTTGCTTTAGTAATTTTAACTTTGAATAGAAAGGACTTGAATAATATTGTATCAATTTTAGGAGAAAATCCATTACTCACATTTGCCTATAAGAGTAGAAAATAATTTTAAAATATTATAGATTAAAATAAATATAAAAGATTAAATGAAATCAATATCAACACAATCAACTTTAGTTATCTCTATTTTCAATTGTTTTGTAGACTTTCCAATGAACTTTGATAGAAATATTTTCAAATATTGTAAAAAAAGCAGAATCCATAACATTAACATGCAGCTTAAACCTAAAAAAAATAATTGGTCATAAGTCCACTAAAAATTTAACTAAATTAGTTTTAAATTGAATATATAGTTTATAAGTAGTAATGTTTATACTTGAGAGTATAAATGATATATCTATAATAATTTTCACAAAAAAACTTATGTCTATTTTTTTTAGCTTCTTGAAACACTTGAGTCATATTGCCATCCCTTCCATATTCAATTTCAAAAACTTGGGTAAAAACAACAACAAACGCAACCTTTACAAAGAGAAACTTCAAATTATGACTTTTATATATTTTAAAAATAATTATATGCATTTCACTTCATTATTTTAATACAAAACATACATAATTTGTCTCAATTATTTTATGTATGGTCATGTTTTGAGGTTGAAGCAAATTATCTTTCATTGAAACAGAAGAGTACCCAGAGACATCTAACTTAATAATTGACTTATACTTGCATCATTCATATCTATCCTATACCACAAATTAGATAGCTTATAAGTTAACAAAAATAGGAAATATCATGCAAAACATAATAATGTCTCCATAAATAAAAAATAATTAAAATACTTACTTATTCTTGTAATCAATAGTCTCTTTTATGTTGGGATTAATATACAACTTTATCCCATTATAAACATTTAATATGCCTAAAGTTTTTGAAATAATCATGAAATATAATTTGTTGATAACTTATACTTGCATCATTCGTATTCATCCTATACCACAAATTAGATAGTTTATAAGTTAACAAAAATAGGAAATATCATGCAAAATATAATGATGTCTCCATAAATAAAAAATAATTAAAATACTTACTTATTTTTGTAATGAATAGCCTCTTTTATGTTGGGATTGATACAATTTTGTTTCATTATAAACATTTGATATGCTTAAAGTTTCTGAAACAATCAAAGTAACATCGTACATTTTTTGAATATATAAAAACTGCTAATTAAAAATAAATGTATTTAACTGATTTGAATTAAACTATTCAAGACGGCCTTAAAAGTACTATTTTTTGTTCTTATTTTTATAATAAACTTAATTTAAAGTTTAAGAGTTTATATAATTTTATCAGTTATTAATTTCTAATAATAAAATTTAAAATAAACATTAATATGAAGACACCTTTTGAATATATAAAAACTGCTAATTAAAAATAAATGCATTTAACTAATTTAAATTAAACCATTTAAGACAGCTTTAAAGGTAAAGATATATCAAAACTGCTAATTAGAAATGAATGAATTTAATTGATTTGAATTAAAGCATTCAATATGACCTTAAATAGTAATTATTAATTATTATATAAAGATTATTACGTTGAAGAGTCAAGGCAAATTATCCTTAAACTCATTGTAAATTTTCCTTTAAAACTCATCTACTTTTATACATATAAAGATAAAGATAAAGATAAAGATTAGATGAATAACTTTAAAATAAAATAAAGATTAAGTTACTTCACTTAATTTTTTTATAAAAATTGAATTCAATTGATCCCATCATCAATTTCAAAAGATGTTATTGAATATATTAAATAAATTTAAGCAAATAATTATTTGTGCATGCATATGGTAAAAGATAGAGAGACGAAGAAAAAAACAAAAAATAATCAATACAAGGAATGTATATTAATATATATAACAATAATATGTGTATATATATATAAAGTTATATTATACAATCTAATATATTATAAATTATTCCAAAATAAAAACTAATATTTATTATTTTTAATTACAAAAACAAAAAAATTATCACTATTACGATTGATAATATGATAGCAAAATGTTTATTAGATGTACATTTGACGGAAGGAAAAGAGTTAAAAATATATGATTAGTAATATAATGAAAAAAATAGAAAAATACAACTAATAAATATAAAAGTAAAATTTGTATGGATAAATAAAGTGGATTAGTTTTTTATATATGGTATTTAGAAAAAATATATACAAATATCATATTTTTGAAAAATTACAAAAATATGAGATTTAAAATTATTATTCACAATTTTTTGTATAGGTGCAGAAATTTAAAGATAAAAAAAGAGTCGACACCGAGCATTTTTGGAATTTTCCTATATTTTTATAACTTTACAAA